TCATTTTTAATTCTTTTTGGTCTAACTAACTCCAAAAGGTTGGAAAAGAGTTCCTACAAAGGTTTTGGACGGTGATTTAAACCCTAATGCAGAAAACCTTAAACCTAACCCTAGCCCCAAATCTTAATACCCGGGTATTACCTTCAGGAAGCCCAAACACCCCAAATATTTTTTTTTCATTTTTCTTTTTTTTTGGTCTAACTAACTCCAAAAGCTTGGAAAATAGTTCCTACAAACGTTTTGGACAGTGATTTAAACCATAACGCCAAAACCTTAAACCTTACCCTAGCCCCAAATCTTAATACCCGGGTATTACCTTCAGGAAGCCCAAACACCCCAAATATTTTTTTTTCATTTTTCTTTTTTTTTGGTCTAACTAACTCCAAAAGGTTGGAAAAGAGATCCTACAAAGGTTTTGGACAGTGATTTTAACCCTAACGCCAAAAACTTTAAACCTTTCCCTAGCCCCAAAACCTAATACCCGGGTATTACCTTCAGGAAGCCCGAACACCCCAAATATTTTTTTTTCATTTTTCTTTTTTTTTGGTCTATCTAACTCCAAAAGCTTGGAAAAGAGATCCTACAAAGGTTTTGGACAGTGATTTTAACCCTAACGCCAAAAACCGTAAACCTTACCATAGCCCCATAACCTAATACCCGTGCATTACCTTCAGGAAGCCAAAACAAGCCAAATATTTTTTTTTTCATTTTTCATTTTTATTTGGTCTAACTAACTCCAAATGGTTGGAAAAGAGTTCCTACAAAGGTTTTGGACAGTGATTTTAACCCTAACGCCAAAAACCTTAAACCTTTCCCTAGCCCCAAAACCTAATACCCGTGTATTATCTTCAGGAAGCCGGAACACCACAAATATTTATTTTTTCATTTTTCATTTCTTTTTGGTCTAACTAACTCCAAAAGCTTGGAAAATAGTTCCTACAAAGGTTTTGGACAGTGATTTAAACCCTGACGCCAAAACCTTAAACCTTACCCTAGCCCCAAATCTTAATACCCGGGTATTACCTTCGGGAAGCCCAAACACCCCAAATATTTTTTTTTTCATTTTTCTTTTTTTTTGGTCTAACTAACTCCAAAAGGTTGGAAAAGAGTTACTACAAAGGTTTTGGACAGTGATTTTAACCCTAACGCCAAAAACCTTAAACCTTCCCCTAGCCCCAAAACCTAATACCTGGGTATTACCTTCAGGAATCCCGAAAACCCCAAATATTTTTTTTTCATTTTTCATTTCTTTTTGGTCTAACTAACTCCCAAAGCTTGGAAAATAGTTCCTACAAAGGTTTTGGACAGTGATTTTAACCCTAATGCCAAAAACCTTAAACCTTACCCTAGCCCCAAAACCTAATACCCGTGCATTATCTTCAGGAAGCCAAAACAAGCCAAATATTTTTTTTTCATTTTTCATTTTTATTTGGTCTAACTAACTCCAAATGGTTGGAAAAGAGTTCCTACAAAGGTTTTGGACAGTGATTTTAACCCTAACGCCAAAAACCTTAAACCTTTCCCTAGCCCCAAAACCTAATACCCGTGTATTATCTTCAGGAAGCCCGAACACCACAAATATTTTTTTTTCATTTTTCATTTCTTTTTGGTCTAACTAACTCCAAAAGGTTGGAAAAGAGTTCCTACAAACGTTTTGGACAGTGATTTAAACCCTAACGCCAAAACCTTAAACCTTACCCTAGCCCCAAATCTTAATACCCGGGTATTACCTTCAGGAAGCCCAAACACCCCAAATATTTTTTTTTCATTTTTCATTTTTATTTGGTCTAACTAACTCCAAAAGGTTGAAAACAGTTCCTAAAAAGGTTTTGGACAGTGATTTAAACCCTAACGCCAAAACCTTAAACCTTACCCTAGCCCCAACTCTTAATACCCGGGTATTACCTTCAGGAAGCCCAAACACCCCAAATATTTTTTTTTCATTTTTCATTTTTATTTGGTCTAACTAACTCCAAAAGGTTGGAAAAGAGTTCCTACAAAGGTTTTGGAAAGTGATTTAAACCCTAACGCCAAAACCTTAAACCTTACCCTAGCCCCAACTCTTAATACCCAGGTATTACCTTCAGGAAGCCCAAACACCCCAAATATATATTTTTTTTCATTTTTCATTTTTATTTGGTCTAACTAACTCCAAAAGGTTGGAAAAGAGTTCCTACAAAGGTTTTGGACAGTGATTTTAACCCTAACGCCAAAAACCTTAAACCTTACCATAGCCCCAAAACTTATACCCGGGTATTACCTTCAGGAAGCCCGAACACCCCAAATATTTTTTTTTAATTTTTTATTTTTATTTGGTGTAACCAACTCCAAAAGGTCTGAAACATGTTCCTAAATAGGTTTTGGACAGTCATTTTAACCCTAACGCCAAAAACCTTAAACCTTACCCTAGCCCCAAAACCTAATATTATTAAAGTATTACCTTCAGGAAGCCCGAAAACCCCAAATATTTTTTTTTTCATCTTTCTTTTTTTTTAGTCTAACTAACTCCAAAAGGTTGGAAAAGAGTTACTACAAAGGTTTTGGACAGTGATTTAAACCCTAACGCCAAAACCTTTAACCTTACCCTAGCCCCAAATCTTAATACCCCGGTATTACCTTCAGGAAGCCCAAACACCCCAAATATTTTTTTTTTCATTTTTCATTTTTATTTGGTCTAACTAAATCCCAAAGGTTGGAAAACAGTTCCTACAAAGGTTTTGGACAGTGATTTTAACCCTAACGCCAAAAACCTTAAACCTTTTCCTAGCCCCAAAACTTAATACCCGTGTATTATCTTCAGGAAGCCCGAACACCACAAATATTTTTTTTTTCATTTTTCATTTTTATTTGGTCTAACTAAATCCCAAAGGTTGGAAAACAGTTCCTAAAAAGGTTTTGGACAGTGATTTTAACCCTAACGCCAAAAACCTTAAACCTTACCCTAGCCCCAAAACCTAATACCCGTGCATTATCTTCAGGAAGCCAAAACAAGCCAAATATTTTTTTTTCATTTTTCATTTTTATTTGGTCTAACTAACTCCAAATGGTTGGAAAAGAGTTCCTACAAACGTTTTGGACAGTGATTTAAACCCTAACGCCAAAAACCTTAAACCTTTCCCTAGCCCCAAAACCTAATACCCATGTATTATCTTCAGGAAGCCCGAACACCACAAATATTTTTTTTTCATTTTTCATTTCTTTTTGGTCTAACTAACTCCCAAAGCTTGGAAAATAGTTCCTACAAAGGTTTTGGACAGTGATTTAAACCCTAACGCCAAAACCTTTAACCTTACCCTAGCCCCAAATCTTAATACCCGGGTATTACCTTCAGGAAGCCCAAACACCCCAAATATTTTTTTTTCATTTTTCATTTTTATTTGGTCTAACTAACTCCAAATGGTTGGAAAAGAGTTCCTACAAAGGTTTTGGACAGTGATTTTAACCCTAACGCCAAAAACCTTAAACCTTTCCCTAGCCCCAAAACCTAATACCCGTGTATTATCTTCAGGAAGCCCGAACACCACAAATATTTTTTTTTCATTTTTCATTTCTTTTTGGTCTAACTAACTCCAAAAGGTTGGAAAAGAGTTCCTACAAACGTTTTGGACAGTGATTTAAACCCTAACGCCAAAACCTTAAACCTTCCCCTAGCCCCAAATCTTAATACCCGGGTATTACCTTCAGGAAGCCCAAACACCCCAAATATTTTTTTTTCATTTTTCATTTTTATTTGGTCTAACTAACTCCAAAAGGTTGAAAACAGTTCCTAAAAAGGTTTTGGACAGTGATTTAAACCCTAACGCCAAAACCTTAAACCTTACCCTAGCCCCAACTCTTAATACCCGGGTATTACCTTCAGGAAGCCCAAACACCCCAAATATTTTTTTTTCATTTTTCATTTTTATTTGGTCTAACTAACTCCAAAAGGTTGGAAAAGAGTTCCTACAAAGGTTTTGGACAGTGATTTAAACCCTAACGCCAAAACCTTAAACCTTACCCTAGCCCCAACTCTTAATACCCGGGTATTACCTTCAGGAAGCCCAAACACCCCAAATATATATTTTTCATTTTTCATTTTTATTTGGTCTAACTAACTCCAAAAGGTTGGAAAAGAGTTCCTACAAAGGTTTTGGACAGTGATTTTAACCCTAACGCCAAAAACCTTAAACCTTACCATAGCCCCAAAACTTAATACCCGGGTATTACCTTCAGGAAGCCCGAACACCCCAAATATTTTTTTTTAATTTTTATTTTTATTTGGTGTAACCAACTCCAAAAGGTCTGAAACATGTTCCTAAATAGGTTTTGGACAGTCATTTTAACCCTAACGCCAAAAACCTTAAACCTTACCCTAGCCCCAAAACCTAATATAAAGTATTACCTTCAGGAAGCCCGAAAACCCCAAATATTTTTTTTCATCTTTCTTTTTTTTAGTCTAACTAACTCCAAAAGGTTGGAAAAGAGTTCTACAAAGGTTTTGGACAGTGATTTAAACCCTAACGCCAAAACCTTTAACCTTACCCTAGCCCCAAATCTTAATACCCGGTATTACCTTCAGGAAGCCCAAACACCCCAAATATTTTTTTTTTCATTTTTCATTTTTATTTGGTCTAACTAACTCCAAAGGTTGGAAAACAGTTCCTACAAAGGTTTTGGACAGTGATTTTAACCCTAACGCCAAAAACCTTAAACCTTTTCCTAGCCCCAAAACTTAATACCCGTGTATTATCTTCAGGAAGCCCGAACACCACAAATATTTTTTTTTTCATTTTTCATTTTTATTTGGTCTAACTAAATCCCAAAGGTTGGAAAACAGTTCCTAAAAAGGTTTTGGACAGTGATTTTAACCCTAACGCCAAAAACCTTAAACCTTTTCCTAGCCCCAAAACTTAATACCCGTGTATTACCTTCAGGAAGCCCAAACACCCCAAATATTTTTTTTTCATTTTTCTTTTTTTTTGGTCTAACTAACTCCAAAAGGTTGGAAAAGAGTTCCTACAAAGGTTTTGGACAGTGATTTTAACCCTAACGCCAAAAACCTTAAACCTTACCCCAGCCCCATAACCTAATACCCGGGTATTACCTTCAGGAAGCCCGAACACCCCAAATATTTTTTTTTCATTTTTCATTTTTATTTGGTCTAACTAACTCCAAAAGGTTGGAAAAGAGTTCCTACAAACGTTTTGGACAGTGATTTAAACCCTAACGCCAAAACCTTTAACCTTACCCTAGCCCCAAATCTTAATACCCCGGTATTACCTTCAGGAAGCCCAAACACCCCAAATATTTTTTTTTTCATTTTTCATTTTTATTTGGTCTAACTAAATCCCAAAGGTTGGAAAACAGTTCCTACAAAGGTTTTGGACAGTGATTTTAACCCTAACGCCAAAAACCTTAAACCTTTTCCTAGCCCCAAAACTTAATACCCGTGTATTATCTTCAGGAAGCCCGAACACCACAAATATTTTTTTTTCATTTTTCATTTCTTTTTGGTCTAACTAACTCCAAAAGGTTGGAAACGAGTTCCTACAAACGTTTTGGACAGTGATTTAAACCCTAACGCCAAAACCTTAAACCTTACCCTAGCCCCAAATCTTAATACCCGGGTATTACCTTCAGGAAGCCCAAACACCCCAAATATTTTTTTTTCATTTTTCATTTTTATTTGGTCTAACTAACTCTAAAAGGTTGGAAAACAGTTCCTACAAAGGTTTTGGACAGTGATTTAAACCCTAACGCCAAAACCTTAAACCTTACCCTAGCCCCAACTCTTAATACCCGGGTGTTATCTTCAGGAAGCCAAAACACCCCAAATATTTTTTTTTTATTTTTTATTTTTATTTGGTGTAACCAACTCCAAAAGGTCTGAAACATGTTCCTAAATAGGTTTTGGACAGTGATTTTAACCCTAACGCCAAAACCTTAAACCTTACCCTAGCCCCAACTCTTAATACCCGGGTATTACCTTCAGGAAGCCCAAACACCCCAAATATTTTTTTTTCATTTTTCATTTTTATTTGGTCTAACTAACTCCCAAAGGTTGGAAAACAGTTCCTACAAAGGTTTTGGACAGTGATTTAAACCCTAACGCCAAAACCTTAAACCTTACCCTAGCCCCAACTCTCAATACCCGGGTATTACCTTCAGGAAGCCCAAACACCCCAAATATTTTTTTTTTCATTTTTCATTTTTATTTGGTCAAACTAACTCCAAAAGGTTGGAAAAGAGTTCCTACAAAGGTTTTGGACAGTGATTTTAACCCTAACGCCAAAAACCTTAAACCTTACCATCGCCCCAAAACTTATACCCGGGTATTACCTTCAGGAAGCCCGAACACCCCAAATAATTTTTTTTTTTATTTTTTTATTTTCATTTGGTGTAACCAACTCCAAAAGGTCTGAAACATGTTCCTAAATAGGTTTTGGACAGTCATTTTAACCCTAACGCCAAAAACCTTAAACCTTCCCTTAGCCCCAAAACCTAATACCCGGGTATTACCTTCAGGAATCCCGAAAACCCCAAATATTTTTTTTTCATTTTTCATTTCTTTTTGGTCTAACTAACTCCCAAAGGTTGGAAAACAGTTCCTACAAACGTTTTGGACAGTGATTTAAACCCTAACGCCAAAACCTTAAACCTTACCCTAGCCCCAACTCTTAATACCCGGGTATTACCTTCAGGAAGCCCAAACACCCCAAATATTTTTTTTTTCATTTTTCATTTTTATTTGGTCTAACTAACTCCAAAAGGTTGGAAAAGAGTTCCTACAAAGGTTTTGGACAGTGATTTTAACCCTAATGCCAAAAACCTTAAACCTTACCATAGCCCCAAAACTTATACCCGGGTATTACCTTCAGGAAGCCCGAACACCCCAAATATTTTTTTTTTATTTTTTTTTTTTTATTTGGTGTAACCAACTCCAAAAGGTCTGAAACATGTTCCTAAATAGGTTTTGGACAGTCATTTTAACCCTAACGCCAAAAACCTTAAACCTTACCCTAGCCCCAAAACCTAATATTATTAAAGTATTACCTTCAGGAAGCCCGAACACCCCAAATATTTTTTTTTTCATCTTTCTTTTTTTTTAGTCTAACTAACTCCAAAAGGTTGGAAAAGAGTTACTACAAAGGCTTTGGACAGTAATTTTAACCCTAACGCCAAAAACCTTAAACCTTACCCCAGCCCCATGACCTAATACCCGGGTATTACCTTCAGGAAGCCCGAAAACCCCAAATATTTTTTTTTCATTTTTCATTTTTATTTGGTCTAACTAACTCCAAAAGGTTGGAAAAGAGTTCCTACAAAGGTTTTGGACAGTGATTTAAACCCTAACGCCAAAACCTTTAACCTTACCCTAGCCCCAAATCTTAATACCCGGGTATTACCTTCAGGAAGCCCAAACACCCCAAATATTTTTTTTTTCATTTTTCATTTTTATTTGGTCTAACTAACTCCCAAAGGTTGGAAAACAGTTCCTACAAACGTTTTGGACAGTGATTTAAACCCTAACGCCAAAACCTTAAACCTTACCCTAGCCCCAAATCTTAATACCCGGGTATTACCTTCAGGATGCCCAAACACCCCAAATACTTTTTTTTCATTTTTCATTTTTATTTGGTCTAACTAACTCTAAAAGGTTGGAAAACAGTTCCTACAAAGGTTTTGGACAGTGATTTAAACCCTAACGCCAAAACCTTAAACCTTACCCTAGCCCCAACTCTTAATACCCGGGTATTATCTTCAGGAAGCCAGAACACCCCAAATATTTTTTTTTCATTTTTCATTTCTTTTTGGTCTAACTAACTCCCAAAGCTTGGAAAATAGTTCCTACAAAGGTTTTGGACAGTGATTTTAACCCTAACGCCAAAAACCTTAAACCTTACCCTAGCCCCAAAACCTAATACCCGTGCATTATCTTCAGGAAGCCAAAACAAGCCAAATATTTTTTTTTCATTTTTCATTTTTATTTGGTCTAACTAACTCCAAATGGTTGGAAAAGAGTTCCTACAAAGGTTTTGGACAGTGATTTTAACCCTAACGCCAAAAACCTTAAACCTTTCCCTAGCCCCAAAACCTAATACCCGTGTATTATCTTCAGGAAGCCCGAACACCACAAATATTTTTTTTTCATTTTTCATTTCTTTTTGGTCTAACTAACTCCAAAAGGTTGGAAAAGAGTTCCTACAAAGGTTTTGGACAGTGATTTAAACCCTAACGCCAAAACCTTTAACCTTACCCTAGCCCCAAATCTTAATACCCGGGTATTACTTTCAGGAAGCCCAAACACCCCAAATATTTTTTTTTCATTTTTCATTTTTATTTGGTCTAACTAACTCTCAAAGGTTGGAAAACAGTTCCTACAAAGGTTTTGGACATTGATTTAAACCCTAACGCCAAAACCTTAAACCTTACCCTAGCCCCAACTCTCAATACCCGGGTATTACCTTCAGGAAGCCCAAACACCCCAAATATATTTTTTTTCATTTTACATTTTTATTTGGTCAAACTAAATCCAAAAGGTTGGAAAAGAGTTCCTACAAAGGTTTTGGACAGTGATTTTAACCCTAATGCCAAAAACCTTAAACCTTACCATAGCCCCAAAACTTATACCCGGGTATTACCTTCAGGAAGCCCGAACACCCCGAATATTTTTTATTTATTTTTTTTTTTTATTTGGTCTAACTAACTCCAAAAGGTTGGAAAAGAGTTCCTACAAAGGTTTTGGACAGTGATTTTAACCCTAACGCCAAAAACCTTAAACCTTACCCTAGCCCCAAAACCTAATATTATTAAAGTATTACCTTCAGGAAGCCCGAAAACCCCAAATATTTTTTTTTTTTTTTCTTTTTTTTTGGTCTAACTAACTCCAAAAGGTTGGAAAAGAGTTCCTACAAAGGTTTTGGACAGTGATTTTAACCCTAACGCCAAAAACCTTAAACCTTACCCTAGCCCCATAACCTAATACCCGGGTATTACCTTCAGGAAGCCCGAACACCCCAAATATTTTTTTTTCATTTTTCATTTTTATTTGGTCTAACTAACTCCAAAAGGTTGGAAAAGAGTTCCTACAAACGTTTTGGACAGTGATTTAAACCCTAACGCCAAAACCTTTAACCTTACCCTAGCCCCAAATCTTAATACCCCGGTATTACCTTCAGGAAGCCCAAACACCCCAAATATTTTTTTTTTCATTTTTCATTTTTATTTGGTCTAACTAAATCCCAAAGGTTGGAAAACAGTTCCTACAAAGGTTTTGGACAGTGATTTTAACCCTAACGCCAAAAACCTTAAACCTTTTCCTAGCCCCAAAACTTAATACCCGTGTATTATCTTCAGGAAGCCCGAACACCACAAATATTTTTTTTTCATTTTTCATTTCTTTTTGGTCTAACTAACTCCAAAAGGTTGGAAACGAGTTCCTACAAACGTTTTGGACAGTGATTTAAACCCTAACGCCAAAACCTTAAACCTTACCCTAGCCCCAAATCTTAATACCCGGGTATTACCTTCAGGAAGCCCAAACACCCCAAATATTTTTTTTTCATTTTTCATTTTTATTTGGTCTAACTAACTCCAAAAGGTTGGAAAACAGTTCCTACAAAGGTTTTGGACAGTGATTTAAACCCTAACGCCAAAACCTTAAACCTTACCCTAGCCCCAACTCTTAATACCCGGGTATTACCTTCAGGAAGCCAAAACACCCCAAATATTTTTTTTTTTTTTTTTTTTTTTATTTGGTGTAACCAACTCCAAAAGGTCTGAAACATGTTCCTAAATAGGTTTTGGACAGTGATTTTAACCCTAACGCCAAAACCTTAAACCTTACCCTAGCCCCAACTCTTAATACCCGGGTATTACCTTCAGGAAGCCCAAACACCCCAAATATATATTTTTTCATTTTTAATTTTTATTTGGTCTAACTAACTCCAAAAGGTTGGAAAACAGTTCCTACAAAGGTTTTGGACAGTGATTTTAACCCTAACGCCAAAACCTTAAACCTTACCCTAGCCCCAACTCTTAATACCCGGGTATTACCTTCAGGAAGCCCAAACACCCCAAATATTTTTTTTCATTTTTCATTTTTATTTGGTCTAACTAACTCCAAAAGGTTGGAAAAGAGTTCCTACACAGGTTTTGGACAGTGATTTTAACCCTAACGCCAAAAACCTTAAACCTTACCCTAGCCCCAAAACTTATACCCGGGTATTACCTTCAGGAAGCCCGAACACCCCAAATATTTTTTTTTTTTTTTTATTTTTATTTGGTGTAACCAACTCCAAAAGGTCTGAAACATGTTCCTAAATAGGTTTTGGACAGTCATTTTAACCCTAACGCCAAAAACCTTAAACCTTCCCCTAGCCCCAAAACCTAATACCCGGGTATTACCTTCAGGAATCCCGAAAACCCCAAATATTTTTTTTTCATTTTTCATTATTTTTTGGTCTAACTAACTCCAAAAGGTTGGAAAAGAGTTCCTACAAAGGTTTTGGACAGTGATTTTAACCCTAACGCCAAAAACCTTAAACCTTACCCTAGCCCCAAATCTTAATACCCGGGTATTACCTTCAGGAAGCCCAAACACCCCAAATATTTTTTTTTCATTTTTCATTTTTATTTGGTCTAACTAACTCCAAATGGTTGGAAAAGAGTTCCTACAAAGGTTTTGGACAGTGATTTTAACCCTAACGCCAAAAACCTTAAACCTTTCCCTAGCCCCAAAACCTAATACCCGGGTATTATCTTCAGGAAGCCCGAACACCACAAATATTTTTTTTTCATTTTTCATTTTTTTTGGTCTAACTAACTCCAAAAGGTTGGAAAAGAGTTCCTACAAAGGTTTTGGACAGTGATTTAAACCCTAACGCCAAAACCTTAAACCTTACCCTAGCCCCAACTCTTAATACCCGGGTATTACCTTCAGGAAGCCCAAACACCCCAAATATTTTTTTTTCATTTTTCATTTTTATTTGGTCTAACTAACTCCAAAAGGTTGGAAAATAGTTCCTACAAAGGTTTTGGACAGTGATTTTAACCCTAACGCCAAAAACCTTAAACCTTACCCTAGCCCCAAATCTTAATACCCGGGTATTACCTTCAGGAAGCCCGAACACCCCAAATATTTTTTTTCATTTTTCATTTTTATTTGGTCTAACTAACTCCAAAAGGTTGGAAAAGAGTTCCTACAAAGGTTTTGGACAGTGATTTTAACCCTAACGCCAAAAACCTTAAACCTTCCCCTAGCCCCAAAACCTAATACCCGGGTATTACCTTCAGGAATCCCGAAAACACCCAAATATTTTTTTTTCATTTTTCATTATTTTTTGGTCTAACTAACTCCAAAAGGTTGGAAAAGAGTTCCTACAAAGGTTTTGGACAGTGATTTTAACCCTAACGCCAAAACCTTAAACCTTACCATAGCCCCAAATCTTAATACCCGGGTATTACCTTCAGGAAGCCAAAACACCCCAAATATTTTTTTTTCATTTTTCATTTTTATTTGGTCTAACTAACTCCAAAAGGTTGGAAAACAGTTCCTACAAAGGTTTTGGACAGTGATTTAAACCCTAACGCCAAAACCTTAAACCTTACCCTAGCCCCAACTCTTAATACCCGGGTATTACCTTCAGGAAGCCCAAACACCCCAAATATATTTTTTTCATTTTTCATTTTTATTTGGTCTAACTAACTCCAAAAGGTTGGAAAACAGTTCCTACAAAGGTTTTGGACAGTGATTTAAACCCTAACGCCAAAACCTTAAACCTTACCCTAGCCCCAACTCTTAATACCCGGGTATTACCTTCAGGAAGCCCAAACACCCCAAATATTTTTTTTTATTTTTTTTTTTATTTGGTGTAACCAACTCCAAAAGGTCTGAAACATGTTCCTAAATAGGTTTTGGACAGTCATTTTAACCCTAACGCCAAAAACCTTAAACCTTACCCTAGCCCCAAAACCTAATATTATTAAAGTATTACCTTCAGGAAGCCCGAAAACCCCAAATATTTTTTTTTCATTTTTCATTTTTTTTTGTCTAACTAACTCCAAAAGGTTGGAAAAGAGTTACTACAAAGGTTTTGGACAGTGATTTTAACCCTAACGCCAAAAACCTTAAACCTTCCCCTAGCCCCAAACCTAATACCTGGGTATTACCTTCAGGAAGCCCAAACACCCCAAATATTTTTTTTTATTTTTATTTTTATTTGGTGTAACCAACTCCAAAAGGTCTGAAACATGTTCCTAAATAGGTTTTGGACAGTGATTTAAACCCTAACGCCAAAACCTTAAACCTTCCCCTAGCCCCAAAACCTAATACCCGGGTATTACCTTCAGGAATCCCGAAAACCCCAAATATTTTTTTTTCATTTTTCATTATTTTTTGGTCTAACTAACTCCCAAAGGTTGGAAAACAGTTCCCACAAAGGTTTTGGACAGTGATTTTTAACCCTAACGCCAAAAACCTTAAACCTTACCCTAGCCCCAACTCTTAATACCCGGGTATTACCTTCAGGAAGCCCAAACACCCCAAATATTTTTTTTTTCATTTTTCATTTTTATTTGGTCTAACTAACTCCAAAAGGTTGGAAAAGAGTTCCTACAAAGGTTTTGGACAGTGATTTTAACCCTAACGCCAAAAACCTTAAACCTTACCATCGCCCCAAAACTTATACCCGGGTATTACCTTCAGGAAGCCCGAACACCCCAAATATTTTTTTTTTATTTTTTTATTTTCATTTGGTGTAACCAACTCCAAAAGGTCTGAAACATGTTCCTAAATAGGTTTTGGACAGTCATTTTAACCCTAACGCCAAAAACCTTAAACCTTCCCCTAGCCCCAAAACCTAATACCCGGGTATTACCTTCAGGAATCCCGAAAACCCCAAATATTTTTTTTTCATTTTTCATTTTTTTTTGGTCTAACTAACTCCAAAAGGTTGGAAAACAGTTCCTACAAAGGTTTTGGACAGTGATTTAAACCCTAACGCCAAAACCTTAAACCTTACCCTAGCCCCAACTCTTAATACCCGGGTATTACCTTCAGGAAGCCCAAACACCCCAAATATTTTCTTTTCATTTTTCATTTTTATTTGGTCTAACTAACTCCAAAAGGTTGGAAAAGAGTTCCTACAAAGGTTTTGGACAGTGATTTTAACCCTAACGCCAAAAATCCTTAAACCTTACCATAGCCCCAAATCTTAATACCCGGGTATTACCTTCAGGAAGCCAAAACACCCCAAATATTTTTTTTCATTTTTCATTTTTATTTGGTCTAACTAACTCCAAAAGGTCTGAAACATGTTCCTAAATAGGTTTTGGACAGTGAATTAAACCCTAACGCCAAAACCTTTAACCTTACCCTAGCCCCAAATCTTAATACCCGGGTATTACCTTCAGGAAGCCCAAACACCCCAAATATTTTTTTTTCATTTTTCATTTTTATTTGGTCTAACTAACTCCAAAAGGTTGGAAAACAGTTCCTACAAAGGTTTTGGACAGTGATTTTAAACCCTAACGCCAAAACCTTAAACCTTACCCTAGCCCCAAATCTTAATACCCGGATATTACCTTCGGGAAGCCCAAACACCCCAAATATATATTTTTTCATTTTTCATTTTTATTTGGTGTAACTAACTCCAAAAGGTTGGAAAAGAGTTCCTACAAAGGTTTTGGACAGTGATTTAAACCCTAACGCCAAAACCTTAAACCTTACCATAGCCCCAAATCTTAATACCCGGGTATTACCTTCAGGAAGCCAAAACACCCCAAATATTTTTTTTCATTTTTCATTTTTATTTGGTCTAACTAACTCCAAAAGGTTGGAAAACAGTTCCTACAAAGGTTTTGGACAGTGATTTAAACCCTAACGCCAAAACCTTAAACCTTACCCTAGCCCCAAAACCTAATACCCGGGTATTACCTTCAGGAAGCCCGAACACCACAAATATTTTTTTTTCATTTTTCATTTCTTTTTGGTCTAACTAACTCCAAAAGGTTGGAAACGAGTTCCTACAAACGTTTTGGACAGTGATTTAAACCCTAACGCCAAAACCTTAAACCTTACCCTAGCCCCAAATCTTAATACCCGGGTATTACCTTCAGGAAGCCCAAACACCCCAAATATTTTTTTTTCATTTTTCATTTTTATTTGGTCTAACTAACTCTAAAAGGTTGGAAAACAGTTCCTACAAAGGTTTTGGACAGTGATTTAAACCCTAACGCCAAAACCTTAAACCTTACCCTAGCCCCAACTCTTAATACCCGGGTATTACCTTCAGGAAGCCCAAACACCCCAAATATATTTTTTTTCATTTTTCATTTTTATTTGGTCTAACTAACTCCAAAAGGTTGGAAAACAGTTCCTACAAAGGTTTTGGACAGTGATTTAAACCCTAACGCCAAAACCTTAAACCTTACCCTAGCCCCAACTCTTAATACCCGGGTATTATCTTCAGGAAGCCAAAACACCCCAAATATTTTTTTTTTATTTTTTATTTTTATTTGGTGTAACCAACTCCAAAAGGTCTGAAACATGTTCCTAAATAGGTTTTGGACAGTGATTTTAACCCTAACGCCAAAAACCTTAAACCTTACCCTAGCCCCAAAACCTAATAGTATTACCTTCAGGAAGCCCGAAAACCCCAAATATTTTTTTTTCATTTTTCATTTTTTTTGGTCTAACTAACTCCAAAAGGTTGGAAAAGAGTTCCTACAAAGGTTTTGGACAGTGATTTTAACCCTAACGCCAAAAACCTTAAACCTTTCCCTAGCCACAAAACCTAATACCCGGGTATTACCTTCAGGAAGCCCGAACACCCCAAATATTTTTTTTTCATTTTTCATTTCTTTTTGGTCAAACTAACTCCAAAAGGTTGGAAAAGAGTTCCTACAAAGGTTTTGGACAGTGATTTTAACCCTAACGCCAAAAACCTTAAACCTTACCATCGCCCCAAAACTTATACCCGGGTATTACCTTCAGGAAGCCCGAACACCCCAAATATTTTATTTTTTATTTTTTTATTTTCATTTGGTGTATCCAACTCCTAAAGGTCTGAAACATGTTCCTAAATAGGTTTTGGACAGTCATTTTAACCCTAACGCCAAAAACCTTAAACCTTCCCCTAGCCCCAAAACCTAATACCCGGGTATTACCTTCAGGAATCCCTAAAAACCCCAAATATTTTTTTTTCATTTTTCATTTCTTTTTGGTCTAACTAACTCCCAAAGGTTGGAAAACAGTTCCTACAAAGGTTTTGGACAGTGATTTAAACCCTAACGCCAAAACCTTAAACCTTACCCTAGCCCCAACTCTTAATACCCGGGTATTACCTTCAGGAAGCCCAAACACCCCAAATATTTTTTTTTTCATTTTTCATTTTTATTTGGTCTAACTAACTCCAAAAGGTTGGAAAAGAGTTCCTACAAAGGTTTTGGACAGTGATTTTAACCCTAATGCCAAAAACCTTAAACCTTACCATAGCCCCAAAACTTATACCCGGGTATTACCTTCAGGAAGCCCGAACACCCCAAATATTTTTTTTTTATTTTTTTTTTTATTTGGTGTAACCAACTCCAAAAGGTCTGAAACATGTTCCTCAATAGGTTTTGGACAGTCATTTTAACCCTAACGCCAAAAACCTTAAACCTTACCCTAGCCCCAAAACCTAATATTATTAAAGTATTACCTTCAGGAAGCCCGAAAACCCCAAATATTTTTTTTTTCATCTTTCTTTTTTTTTAGTCTAACTAACTCCAAAAGGTTGGAAAAGAGTTACTACAAAGGTTTTGGACAGTGATTTTAACCCTAACGCCAAAAACCTTAAACCTTACCCCAGCCCCATAACCTAATACCCGGGTATTACCTTCAGGAAGCCCGAACACCCCAAATATTTTTTTTTCATTTTTCATTTTTATTTGGTCTAACTAACTCCAAAAGGTTGGAAAAGAGTTCCTACAAAGGTTTTGGACAGTGATTTAAACCCTAACGCCAAAACCTTAAACCTTACCCTAGCCCCAAATCTTAATACCCGGGTATTACCTTCAGGAAGCCCAAACACCCCAAATATTTTTTTTTTCATTTTTCATTTTTATTTGGTCTAACTAACTCCCAAAGGTTGGAAAACAGTTCCTACAAAGGTTTTGGACAGTGATTTTAACCCTAACGCCAAAAACCTTAAACCTTACCTAGCCCCAAAACTTAATACCCGTGTATTATCTTCAGGAAGCCCGAACACCCCAAATATTTTTTTTTCATTTTTCATTTTTATTTGGTCTAACTAACTCCAAAAGGTTGGAAAACAGTTCCTACAAAGGTTTTGGACAGTGATTTAAACCCTAACGCCAAAACCTTAAACCTTACCCTAGCCCCAACTCTTAATACCCGGGTATTACCTTCAGGAAGCCCAAACACCCCAAATATATTTTTTTCATTTTTCATTTTTATTTGGTCTAACTAACTCCAAAAGGTTGGAAAACAGTTCCTACAAAGGTTTTGGACAGTGATTTAAACCCTAACGCCAAAACCTTAAACCTTACCCTAGCCCCAACTCTTAATACCCGGGTATTACCTTCAGGAAGCCCAAACACCCCAAATATTTTTTTATTTTTTTTTATTTTTATTTGGTGTAACCAACTCCAAAAGGTCTGAAACATGTTCCTAAATAGGTTTTGGACAGTCATTTTAACCCTAACGCCAAAAACCTTAAACCTTACCCTAGCCCCAAAACCTAATATTATTAACCGTATTACCTTCAGGAAGCCCGAAAACCCCAAATATTTTTTTTTTTCATCTTTCTTTTTTTTTGGTCTAACTAACTCCCAAAGCTTGGAAAATAGTTCCTACAAAGGTTTTGGACAGTGATTTTAACCCTAATGCCAAAAACCTTAAACCTTACCCTAGCCCCAACTCTTAATACCCGGGTATTACCTTCAGGAAGCCCAAACACCCCAAATATTTTTTTTTCATTTTTCATTTTTATTTGGTCTAACTAACTCCAAAAGGTTGGAAAACAGTTCCTACAAAGGTTTTGGACAGTGATTTTAACCCTAACGCCAAAACCTTAAACCTTACCCTAGCCCCAATTCTTAATACCCGGGTATTACCTTCAGGAAGCCCTAACACCCCAAATATAAATATATTTTTTTAAATTTTTTTTGGTCTAACTATCTCCAAAAGGTTGGAAAAGAGTTACTACAAAGGTTTTGGACAGTCATTTTAACCGCAACGCCAAAAACCTTAAAACTTCCCTAGCCCCAAAACCTAATATTATGCAAGTATTACCTTCAGGAAGCCCGAAAACCCCAAATATTTTTTTTTTCATTTTTTGTTTTTTTCGGTCTAACTAACTCCAAAATGTTGGAAAAGAGTTACTACAAAGGTTTTGGACAGTGATTTTAACCCTAACGCCAAAAACCTTAAACCTTCCCTTAGCCCCTAAACCTAATACCTGGGTATTACCTTCAGGAAGCCAGAACACCCCAAATATATATATATATTTTTTCATTTTTCATTTGGTCTAACTAACTCCCAAAGGGTTGGAAAAGAGTTCCTACAAAGGTTTTGGACAGTGATTTTAACCCTAACGCCAAAAAAACCTAAACCTTACCATAGCCCCAAAACCTAATTCCCGGGTATTACCTTCAGGAAGCCCGAACCCCCTAAATATATATTTTTTTATTTTTCATTTGTTTTTGGTCTAACTAACTTCAAAAGGTTGGAAAAGAGTTCCTACAAAGGTTTTGGACAGTGTTTTTAACCCTAATGCCAAAAACCTTAAACCTTACCCTAGCCCCAAAACCTAGTAGTATTACCTTCAGGAAGCCCGAAAACCCCAAATTCTTCTTTTTCATTTTTCATTTTTTTTGGTCTAACTAACTCCAAAAGGTTGGAAAAGAGTTCCTACAAAGGTTTTGGACAGTGATTTTAACCCTAACGCCAAAAACCTTAAACCTTTCCCTAGCCACAAAACCTAATACCCGTGTATTATCTTCAGGAAGCCCGAACACCACAAATATTTTTTTTTCATTTTTCATTTTTTTTGGTCTTACTAACTCCAAAAGGTTGGAAGAGTTCCTACAAACGTTTTGGACAGTGATTTAAACCCTAACGCCAAAACCTTAAACCTTACCCCAGCCCCAAATCTTAATACCCGGGTATTACCTTCAGGAAGCCCGAAAACCCCAAATATATTTTTTTCATTTTTCATTTTTATTTGGTCTAACTAACTCCAAATGGTTGGAAAAGAGTTCCTACAAAGGTTTTGGACAGTGATTTTAACCCTAACGCCAAAAACCTTAAACCTTTCCCTAGCCCCAAAACCTAATACCCGTGTATTATCTTCAGGAAGCCCGAACACCACAAATATATTTTTTTTCATTTTTCATTTTCTTTTTGGTCTAACTAACTCCAAAAGCTTGGAAAATAGTTCCTACAAAGGTTTTGGACAGTGATTTAAACCCTGACGCCAAAACCTTAAACCTTACCCTAGCCCCAAATCTTAATACCTGGGTATTACCTTCAGGAAGCCCAAACACCCCAAATATTTTTTTTTCATTTTTCTTTTTTTTTGGTCTAACTAACTCCAAAAGGTTGGAAAAGAGTTACTACAAAGGTTTTGGACAGTGATTTTAACCCTAACGCCAAAACCTTAAACCTTACCCTAGCCCCAAGTCTTAATACCCGGGTATTACCTTCAGGAAGCCCCAACACCCCAAATATATTTTTTTTCATTTTTCATTTTTATTTGGTCTAACTAACTCCAAAAGGTTGGAAAAGAGATCCTACAAAGGTTTTGGACAGTGATTTTAACCCTAACGCCAAAAACCTTAAACCTTACCCTAGCCCCAACTCTTAATACCCGGGTATTACCTTCAGGAAGCCCAAACACCCCAAATATATTTTTTTTCATTTTTCATTTTTATTTGGTCTAACTAACTCCAAAAGGTTGGAAAAGAGATCCTACAAAGGTTTTGGACAGTGATTTTAACCCTAACGCCAAAAACCTTAAACCTTACCATAGCCCCAAAACTTATACCCGGGTATTACCTTCAGGAAGCCTGAACACCCCAAATATATTTTTTTTATTTTTTTATTTTATTTGGTGTAACCAACTCCAAAAGGTCTGAAACATGTTCCTAAATAGGTTTTGGACAGTGATTTTAACCCTAACGCCAAAAACCTTAAACCTTACCCTAGCCCCAAAACCTAATACCTGGGTATTACCTTCAGGAAGCCCAAACACCCCAAATATTTTTTTTTCATTATTCATTTTTATTTGGTCTAACTAACTCCAAAAGGTTGGAAAAGAGTTCCTACAAAGGTTTTGGACAGTGATTTTAACCCTAACGCCAAAACCTTAAACCTTACCCTAGCCCCAATTCTTAATACCCGGGTATTACCTTCAGGAAGCCCTAACACCCCAAATATAAATATATTTTTTTAAATTTTTTTTGGTCTAACTATCTCCAAAAGGTTGGAAAAGAGTTACTGCAAAGGTTTTGGACAGTCATTTTAACCGCAACGCCAAAAACCTTAAAACTTCCCCTAGCCCCAAAACCTAATATTATTAAAGTATTACCTTCAGGAAGCCCGAAAACCCCAAATATTTTTTTTTTCATTTTTTGTTTTTTTCGGTCTAACTAACTCCAAAATGGTTGTAAAATTTTTACTACAAAGGTTTTGGACAGTGTTTTTAACCCTAACGCCAAAAACCTTAAACCTTCCCTTAGCCCCTAAACCTAATACCTGGGTATTACCTTCAGGAAGCCCGAACACCCCAAATATTTATTTTTTATTTTTTATTTTTATTTGGTGTAACCAACTCCAAAAGGTCTGAAACATGTTCCTAAATAGGTTTTGGACAGTGATTTTAACCCTAACGCCAAAAACCTTAAACCTTACCCTAGCCCCAAAACCTAATAGTATTACCTTCAGGAAGCCCGAAAACCCCAAATATTTCTTTTTCATTTTTCATTTCTTTTTGGTCTAACTAACTCCAAAAGGTTGGAAAAGAGTTCCTACAAAGGTTTTGGACAGTGATTTTAACCCTAACGCCAAAAACCTTAAACCTTACCCTAGCCACAAAACCTAATACCCATGTATTATCTTCAGGAAGCCCGAACACCACAAATATTTTTTTTTCATTTTTCATTTCTTTTTGGTCAAACTAACTCCAAAAGCTTGGAAAAGAGTTCCTACAAAGGTTTTGGACAGTGATTTTAACCCTAACGCCAAAAACCTTAAACCTTACCCTAGCCCCAAAACCTAATACCCGGGTATTACCTTCAGGAAGCCCGAACACCCCAAATATATTTTTTTTATTTTTTATTTTTATTTGGTGTAACCAACTCCAAAAGGTCTGAAACATGTTCCTAAATAGGTTTTGGACAGTGATTTTAACCCTAACGCCAAAAACCTTAAACCTTCCCCTAGCCCCAAAACCTAATACCCGGGTATTACCTTCAGGAATCCCTAAAAACCCCAAATATTTTTTTTTCATTTTTCATTTCTTTTTGGTCTAACTAACTCCCAAAGCTTGGAAAATAGTTCCTACAAAGGTTTTGGACAGTGATTTTAACCCTAACGCCAAAAACCTTAAACCTTACCCTAGCCCCAAAACCTAATACCCGTGCATTATCTTCAGGAAGCCAAAACAAGCCAAATATTTTTTTTTCATTTTTCATTTTTATTTGGTCTAACTAACTCCAAATGGTTGGAAAAGAGTTCCTACAAAGGTTTTGGACAGTGATTTTAACCCTAACGCCAAAAACCTTAAACCTTTCCCTAGCCCCAAAACCTAATACCCGTGTATTATCTTCAGGAAGCCCGAACACCACAAATATTTTTTTTTCATTTTTCATTTCTTTTTGGTCTAACTAACTCCAAAAGGTTGGAAAAGAGTTCCTACAAACGTTTTGGACAGTGATTTAAACCCTAACGCCAAAACCTTAAACCTTACCCTAGCCCCAACTCTTAATACCCGGGTATTACCTTCAGGAAGCCCAAACACCCCAAATATATTTTTTTTCATTTTTCATTTTTATTTGGTCTAACTAACTCCAAAAGCTTGGAAAACAGTTCCTACAAAGGTTTTGGACAGTGATTTAAACCCTAACGCCAAAACCTTAAACCTTACCCTAGCCCCAACTCTTAATACCCGGGTATTACCTTCAGGAAGCCCAAACACCCCAAATATTTTTTTATTTTTTTTTATTTTTATTTGGTGTAACCAACTCCAAAAGGTCTGAAACATGTTCCTAAATAGGTTTTGGACAGTCATTTTAACCCTAACGCCAAAAACCTTAAACCTTACCCTAGCCCCAAAACCTAATATTATTAAAGTATTACCTTCAGGAAGCCCGAAAACCCCAAATATTTTTTTTTTTCATCTTTCTTTTTTTTTGGTCTAACTAACTCCCAAAGCTTGGAAAATAGTTCCTACAAAGGTTTTGGACAGTGATTTTAACCCTAATGCCAAAAACCTTAAACCTTACCCTAGCCCCAACTCTTAATACCCGGGTATTACCTTCAGGAAGCCCAAACACCCCAAATATTTTTTTTTCATTTTTCATTTTTATTTGGTCTAACTAACTCCAAAAGGTTGGAAAACAGTTCCTACAAAGGTTTTGGACAGTGATTTTAACCCTAACGCCAAAACCTTAAACCTTACCCTAGCCCCAATTCTTAATACCCGGGTATTACCTTCAGGAAGCCCTAACACCCCAAATATAAATATATTTTTTTAAATTTTTTTTGGTCTAACTATCTCCAAAAGGTTGGAAAAGAGTTACTACAAAGGTTTTGGACAGTCATTTTAACCGCAACGCCAAAAAACCTTAAAACTTCCCCTAGCCCCAAAACCTAATATTATGCAAGTATTACCTTCAGGAAGCCCGAAAACCCCAAATATTTTTTTTTTCATTTTTTGTTTTTTTCGGTCTAACTAACTCCAAAATGTTGGAAAAGAGTTACTACAAAGGTTTTGGACAGTGATTTTAACCCTAACGCCAAAAACCTTAAACCTTCCCTTAGCCCCTAAACCTAATACCTGGGTATTACCTTCAGGAAGCCAGAACACCCCAAATATATATATATATTTTTTCATTTTTCATTTGGTCTAACTAACTCCCAAAGGGTTGGAAAAGAGTTCCTACAAAGGTTTTGGACAGTGATTTTAACCCTAACGCCAAAAAAACCTAAACCTTACCATAGCCCCAAAACCTAATTCCCGGGTATTACCTTCAGGAAGCCCGAACCCCCTAAATATATATTTTTTTATTTTTCATTTGTTTTTGGTCTAACTAACTTCAAAAGGTTGGAAAAGAGTTCCTACAAAGGTTTTGGACAGTGTTTTTAACCCTAATGCCAAAAACCTTAAACCTTACCCTAGCCCCAAAACCTAGTAGTATTACCTTCAGGAAGCCCGAAAACCCCAAATTCTTCTTTTTCATTTTTCATTTTTTTTGGTCTAACTAACTCCAAAAGGTTGGAAAAGAGTTCCTACAAAGGTTTTGGACAGTGATTTTAACCCTAACGCCAAAAACCTTAAACCTTTCCCTAGCCACAAAACCTAATACCCGTGTATTATCTTCAGGAAGCCCGAACACCACAAATATTTTTTTTTCATTTTTCATTTTTTTTGGTCTTACTAACTCCAAAAGGTTAGAAGAGTTCCTACAAACGTTTTGGACAGTGATTTAAACCCTAACACCAAAACCTTAGACCTTACCCCAGCCCCAAATCTTAATACCCGGGTATTACCTTCAGGAAGCCCGAACACCCCAAATATTTTTTTTTCATTTTTCATTTTTATTTGGTCTAACTAACTCCAAATGGTTGGAAAAGAGTTCCTACAAAGGTTTTGGACAGTGATTTTAACCCTAACGCCAAAAACCTTAAACCTTTCCCTAGCCCCAAAACCTAATACCCGTGTATTATCTTCAGGAAGCCCGAACACCACAAATATATTTTTTTTCATTTTTCATTTCTTTTTGGTCTAACTAACTCCAAAAGCTTGGAAAATAGTTCCTACAAAGGTTTTGGACAGTGATTTAAACCCTGACGCCAAAACCTTAAACCTTACCCTAGCCCCAAATCTTAATACCTGGGTATTACCTTCAGGAAGCCCAAACACCCCAAATATTTTTTTTTCATTTTTCTTTTTTTTTGGTCTAACTAACTCCAAAAGGTTGGAAAAGAGTTACTACAAAGGTTTTGGACAGTGATTTAAACCCTAACGCCAAAACCTTAAACCTTACCCTAGCCCCAAGTCTTAATACCCGGGTATTACCTTCAGGAAGCCCCAACACCCCAAATATATTTTTTTCATTTTTCATTTTTATTTGGTCTAACTAACTCCAAAAGGTTGGAAAAGAGATCCTACAAAGGTTTTGGACAGTGATTTTAACCCTAACGCCAAAAACCTTAAACCTTACCCTAGCCCCAACTCTTAATACCCGGGTATTACCTTCAGGAAGCCCAAACACCCCAAATATATATATTTTTTCATTTTTCATTTTTATTTGGTCTAACTAACTCCAAAAGGTTGGAAAAGAGATCCTACAAAGGTTTTGGACAGTGATTTTAACCCTAACGCCAAAAACCTTAAACCTTACCATAGCCCCAAAACTTATACCCGGGTATTACCTTCAGGAAGCCTGAACACCCCAAATATATTTTTTTAATTTTTTTATTTTATTTGGTGTAACCAACTCCAAAAGGTCTGAAACATGTTCCTAAATAGGTTTTGGACAGTCATTTTAACCCTAACGCCAAAAACCTTAAACCTTACCCTAGCCCCAAAACCTAATACCTGGGTATTACCTTCAGGAAGCCCAAACACCCCAAATATTTTTTTTTCATTATTCATTTTTATTTGGTCTAACTAACTCCAAAAGGTTGGAAAAGAGTTCCTACAAAGGTTTTGGACAGTGATTTTAACCCTAACGCCAAAACCTTAAACCTTACCCTAGCCCCAATTCTTAATACCCGGGTATTACCTTCAGGAAGCCCTAACACCCCAAATATAAATATATTTTTTTAAATTTTTTTTGGTCTAACTATCTCCAAAAGGTTGGAAAAGAGTTACTGCAAAGGTTTTGGACAGTCATTTTAACCGCAACGCCAAAAAACCTTAAAACTTCCCCTAGCCCCAAAACCTAATATTATTAAAGTATTACCTTCAGGAAGCCCGAAAACCCCAAATATTTTTTTTTTCATTTTTTGTTTTTTTCGGTCTAACTAACTCCAAAATGTTGGAAAAGAGTTACTACAAAGGTTTTGGACAGTGATTTTAACCCTAACGCCAAAAACCTTAAACCTTCCCTTAGCCCCTAAACCTAATACCTGGGTATTACCTTCAGGAAGCCCGAACACCCCAAATATTTATTTTTTATTTTTTATTTTTATTTGGTGTAACCAACTCCAAAAGGTCTGAAACATGTTCCTAAATAGGTTTTGGACAGTGATTTTAACCCTAACGCCAAAAACCTTAAACCTTACCCTAGCCCCAAAACCTAATAGTATTACCTTCAGGAAGCCCGAAAACCCCAAATATTTCTTTTTCATTTTTCATTTTTTTTGGTCTAACTAACTCCAAAAGGTTGGAAAAGAGTTCCTACAAAGGTTTTGGACAGTGATTTTAACCCTAACGCCAAAAACCTTAAACCTTTCCCTAGCCACAAAACCTAATACCCATGTATTATCTTCAGGAAGCCCGAACACCACAAATATTTTTTTTTCATTTTTCATTTCTTTTTGGTCAAACTAACTCCAAAAGCTTGGAAAAGAGTTCCTACAAAGGTTTTGGACAGTGATTTTAACCCTAACGCCAAAAACCTTAAACCTTACCATAGCCCCAAAACTTATACCCGGGTATTACCTTCAGGAAGCCCGAACACCCCAAATATATTTTTTTTATTTTTTATTTTTATTTGGTGTAACCAACTCCAAAAGGTCTGAAACATGTTCCTAAATAGGTTTTGGACAGTCATTTTAACCCTAACGCCAAAAACCTTAAACCTTCCCCTAGCCCCAAAACCTAATACCCGGGTATTACCTTCAGGAATCCCTAAAAACCCCAAATATTTTTTTTTCATTTTTCATTTCTTTTTGGTCTAACTAACTCCCAAAGCTTGGAAAATAGTTCCTACAAAGGTTTTGGACAGTGATTTTAACCCTAACGCCAAAAACCTTAAACCTTACCCTAGCCCCAAAACCTAATACCCGTGCATTATCTTCAGGAAGCCAAAACAAGCCAAATATTTTTTTTTCATTTTTCATTTTTATTTGGTCTAACTAACTCCAAATGGTTGGAAAAGAGTTCCTACAAAGGTTTTGGACAGTGATTTTAACCCTAACGCCAAAAACCTTAAACCTTTCCCTAGCCCCAAAACCTAATACCCGTGTATTATCTTCAGGAAGCCCGAACACCACAAATATTTTTTTTTCATTTTTCATTTCTTTTTGGTCTAACTAACTCCAACAGGTTGGAAAACAGTTCCTACAAACGTTTTGGACAGTGATTTAAACCCTAACGCCAAAACCTTAAACCTTACCCTAGCCCCAACTCTTAATACCCGGGTATTACCTTCAGGAAGCCCAAACACCCCAAATATTTTTTTTTCATTTTTCATTTTTATTTGGTCTAACTAACTCCAAAAGGTTGGAAAACAGTTCCTACAAAGGTTTTGGACAGTGATTTAAACCCTAACGCCAAAACCTTAAACCTTACCCTAGCCCCAACTCTTAATACCCGGGTATTACCTTCAGGAAGCCCAAACACCCCAAATATATTTTTTTTCATTTTTCATTTTTATTTGGTCTAACTAACTCCAAAAGCTTGGAAAACAGTTCCTACAAAGGTTTTGGACAGTGATTTTAACCCTAACGCCAAAACCTTAAACCTTGCCCTAGCCCCAACTCTTAATACCCGGGTATTACCTTCAGGAAGCCCAAACACCCCAAATATTTTTTTATTTTTTTTTATTTTTATTTGGTGTAACCAACTCCAAAAGGTCTGAAACATGTTCCTAAATAGGTTTTGGACAGTCATTTTAACCCTAACGCCCAAAACCTTAAACCTTACCCTAGCCCCAAAACCTAATATTATTAAAGTATTACCTTCAGGAAGCCCGAAAACCCCAAATATTTTTTTTTTCATCTTTCTTTTTTTTTTGTCTAACTAACTCCAAAAGGTTGGAAAAGAGGTACTACAAAGGTTTTGGACAGTGATTTAAACCCTAACGCCAAAACCTTAAACCTTACCCTAGCCCCAACTCTTAATACCCGGGTATTACCTTCAGGAAGCCCAAACACCCCAAATATATATTTTTTCATTTTTCATTTTTATTTGGTCTAACTAACTCCAAAAGGTTGGAAAAGAGTTCCTACAAAGGTTTTGGACAGTGATTTTAACCCTAACGCCAAAAACCTTAAACCTTACCATAGCCCCAAAACGTATACCCGGGTATTACCTTCAGGAAGCCCGAACACCCCAAATATATATATTTTTTTTTTATTTTTATTTGGTGTAACCAACTCCAAAAGGTCTGAAACATGTTCCTAAATAGGTTTTGGACAGTCATTTTAACCCTAACGCCAAAAAATCTTAAACCTTACCCTAGCCCCAAAACCTAATAGTATTACCTTCAGGAAGCCCGAAAACCCCAAATATTTTTTTTTCATTTTTCTTTTTTTTTGGTCTAACTAACTCCAAAAGCTTGGAAAAGAGATCCTACAAAGGTTTTGGACAGTGATTTTAACCCTAACGCCAAAAACTTTCAACCTTTCCCTAGCCCCATAACCTAATACCCGGGTATTACCTTCAGGAAGCCCGAACACCCCAAATATTTTTTTTTCATTTTTCTTTTTTTTTTGGTCTAACTAACTCCAAAAGCTTGGAAAAGAGATCCTACAAAGGTTTTGGACAGTGATTTTAACCCTAACGCCAAAAACCTTAAACCTTACCATAGCCCCAAAACCTAATACCCGTGCATTATCTTCAGGAAGCCAAAACAAGCCAAATATTGTTTTTTTTTCATTTTTATTTGGTCTAACTAACTCCAAAAGGTTGGAAAACAGTTCCTACAAAGGTTTTGGACAGTGATTTAAACCCTAACGCCAAAACCTTAAACCTTACCCTAGCCCCAACTCTTAATACCCGGGTATTACCTTCAGGAAGCCCAAACACCCCAAATATATATTTTTTCATTTTTCATTTTTATTTGGTCTAACTAACTCCAAAAGGTTGGAAAAGAGTTCCTACAAAGGTTTTGGACAGTGATTTAAACCCTAACGCCAAAACCTTAAACCTTACCCTAGCCCCAACTCTTAATACCCGGGTATTACCTTCAGGAAGCCCAAACACCCCAAATATATTTTTTTTATTTTTTATTTTTATTTGGTGTAACCAACTCCAAAAGGTCTGAAACATGTTCCTAAATAGGTTTTGGACAGTCATTTTAACCCTAACGCCAAAAACCTTAAACCTTACCCTAGCCCCAAAACCTAATAGTATTACCTTCAGGAAGCCCGAAAACCCCAAATATTTTTTTTTCATTTTTCTTTTTTTTTGGTCTAACTAACTCCAAAAGCTTGGAAAAGAGATCCTACAAAGGTTTTGGACAGTGATTTTAACCCTAACGCCAAAAACTTTAAACCTTTCCCTAGCCCCATAACCGAATACCCGGGTATTACCTTCAGGAAGCCTGAACACCCCAAATATTTTTTTTTCATTTTTCTTTTTTTTTGGTCTAACTAACTCCAAAAGCTTGGAAAAGAGATCCTACAAAGGTTTTGGACAGTGATTTTAACCCTAACGCCAAAAACCTTAAACCTTACCATAGCCCCATAACCTAATACCCGTGCATTATCTTCAGGAAGCCAAAACAAGCCAAATATTGTTTTTTTTCATTTTTATTTGGTCTAACTAACTCCAAAAGGTTGGAAAACAGTTCCTACAAAGGTTTTGGACAGTGATTTAAACCCTAACGCCAAAACCTTAAACCTTACCCTAGCCCCAACTCTTAATACCCGGGTATTACCTTCAGGAAGCCCAAACACCCCAAATATATATTTTTTCATTTTTCATTTTTATTTGGTCTAACTAACTCCAAAAGGTTGGAAAACAGTTCCTACAAAGGTTTTGGACAGTGATTTAAACCCTAACGCCAAAACCTTAAACCTTACCCTAGCCCCAACTCTTAATACCCGGGTATTACCTTCAGGAAGCCCAAACACCCCAAATATATTTTTTTTCATTTTTCATTTTTATTTGGTCTAACTAACTCCAAAAGGTTGGAAAAGAGTTCCTACAAAGGTTTTGGACAGTGATTTAAACCCTAACGCCAAAAACGTTAAACCTTACCATAGCCCCAAAACTTATACCCGGGTATTACCTTCAGGAAGCCCAAACACCCCAAATATTTTTTTTTTTCATTTTTCTTTTTTTTTGGTCTAACTAACTCCAAAAGGTTGGAAAAGAGTTCCTACAAATGTTTTGGACAGTGATTTAAACCCTAACGCCAAAACCTTTAACCTTACCCTAGCCCCAAATCTTAATACCCGGGTATTACCTTCAGGAAGCCCAAACACCCCAAATATATTTTTTTTCATTTTTCATTTTTATTTGGTGTAACTAACTCCAAAAGGTTGGAAAAGAGTTCCTACAAAGGTTTTGGACAGTGATTTTAACCCTAACGCCAAAAACCTTAAACCTTACCATAGCCCCAAAACTTATACCCGGGTATTACCTTCAGGAAGCCCGAACACCCCAAATATTCTTTTTTCCTTTTTTTCTTTTTTTTTGGTCTAACTAACTCCAAAAGCTTGGAAAAGAGATCCTACAAAGGTTTTGGACAGTCATTTTAACCCTAACGCCAAAAACCTTAAACCTTCCCCTAGCCCCAAAACCTAATACCCGGGTATTACCTTCAGGAAGCCCGAACACCCCAAATATTTTTTTTTCATTTTTCTTTTTTTTTGGTCCAACTAACTCCAAAAGCTTGGAAAAGAGATCCTACAAAGGTTTTGGACAGGGATTTAAACCCTAACGCCAAAACCTTAAACCTTACCCTAGCCCCAACTCTTAATACCCGGGTATTACCTTCAGGAAGCCCAAACACCCCAAATATATTTTTTTTCATTTTTCATTTTTATTTGGTCTAACTAACTCCAAAAGGTTGGAAAAGAGTTCCTACAAAGGTTTTGGACAGTGATTTAAACCCTAACGCCAAAAACGTTAAACCTTACCATTGCCCCAAAACTTATACCCGGGTATTACCTTCAGGAAGCCCAAACACCCCAAATATTTTTTTTTTCATTTTTCTTTTTTTTTGGTCTAACTAACTCCAAAAGGTTGGAAAAGAGTTACTACAAAGGTTTTGGACAGTGATTTAAACCCTAACGCCAAAACCTTTAACCTTACCCTAGCCCCAACTCTTAATACCCGGGTATTACCTTCAGGAAGCCCAAACACCCCAAATATATTTTTTTTCATTTTTCATTTTTATTTGGTGTAACTAACTCCAAAAGGTTGGAAAAGAGTTCCTACAAAGGTTTTGGACAGTGATTTTAACCCTAACGCCAAAAACCTTAAACCTTACCATAGCCCCAAAACTTATACCCGGGTATTACCTTCAGGAAGCCCGAACACCCCAAATATTTTTTTTTCATTTTTCTTTTTTTTTGGTCTAAATAACTCCAAAAGCTTGGAAAAGAGATCCTACAAAGGTTTTGGACAGTCATTTTAACCCTAACGCCAAAAACCTTAAACCTTACCCTAGCCCCAACTCTTAATACCCGGGTATTACCTCCAGGAAGCCCAAACACCCCAAATATTTTTTTTTCATTTTTCTTTTTTTTTGGTCTAACTAACTCCAAAAGCTTGGAAAAGAGATCCTACAAAGGTTTTGGACAGTGATTTTAACCCTAACGCCAAAAACCTTAAACCTTACCATAGCCCCATAACCTAATACCCGTGCATTATCTTCAGGAAGCCAAAACAAGCCAAATATTGTTTTTTTCATTTTTATTTGGTCTAACTAACTCCAAAAGGTTGGAAAAGAGTTCCTACAAACGTTTTGGACAGTGATTTAAACCCTAACGCCAAAACCTTTAACCTTACCCTAGCCCCAAATCTTAATACCCCGGTATTACCTTCAGGAAGCCCAAACACCCCAAATATTTTTTTTTTCATTTTTCATTTTTATTTGGTCTAACTAACTCCCAAAGGTTGGAAAACAGTTCCTACAAAGGTTTTGGACAGTGATTTTAACCCTAACGCCAAAAACCTTAAACCTTTTCCTAGCCCCAAAACTTAATACCCGTGTATTATCTTCAGGAAGCCCGAACACCACAAATATTTTTTTTTCATTTTTCATTTCTTTTTGGTCTAACTAACTCCAAAAGGTTGGAAACGAGTTCCTACAAACGTTTTGGACAGTGATTTAAACCCTAACGCCAAAACCTTAAACCTTACCCTAGCCCCAAATCTTAATACCCGGGTATTACCTTCAGGAAGCCCAAACACCCCAAATATTTTTTTTTCATTTTTCATTTTTATTTGGTCTAACTAACTCTAAAAGGTTGGAAAACAGTTCCTACAAAGGTTTTGGACAGTGATTTAAACCCTAACGCCAAAACCTTAAACCTTACCCTAGCCCCAACTCTTAATACCCGGGTATTACCTTCAGGAAGCCCAAACACCCCAAATATATTTTTTTTCATTTTTCATTTTTATTTGGTCTAACTAACTCCAAAAGGTTGAAAAACAGTTCCTACAAAGGTTTTGGACAGTGATTTAAACCCTAACGCCAAAACCTTAAACCTTACCCTAGCCCCAACTCTTAATACCCGGGTATTATCTTCAGGAAGCCAAAACACCCCAAATATTTTTTTTTTATTTTTTATTTTTATTTGGTGTAACCAACTCCAAAAGGTCTGAAACATGTTCCTAAATAGGTTTTGGACAGTGATTTTAACCCTAACGCCAAAAACCTTAAACCTTACCCTAGCCCCAAAACCTAATAGTATTACCTTCAGGAAGCCCGAAAACCCCAAATATTTCTTTTTCATTTTTCATTTTTTTTGGTCTAACTAACTCCAAAAGGTTGGAAAAGAGTTCCTACAAAGGTTTTGGACAGTGATTTTAACCCTAACGCCAAAAACCTTAAACCTTTCCCTAGCCACAAAACCTAATACCCATGTATTATCTTCAGGAAGCCCGAACACCACAAATATTTTTTTTTCATTTTTCATTTCTTTTTGGTCAAACTAACTCCAAAAGCTTGGAAAAGAGTTCCTACAAAGGTTTTGGACAGTGATTTTAACCCTAACGCCAAAAACCTTAAACCTTACCATAGCCCCAAAACTTATACCCGGGTATTACCTTCAGGAAGCCCGAACACCCCAAATATATTTTTTTTATTTTTTATTTTTATTTGGTGTAACCAACTCCAAAAGGTCTGAAACATGTTCCTAAATAGGTTTTGGACAGTCATTTTAACCCTAACGCCAAAAACCTTAAACCTTCCCCTAGCCCCAAAACCTAATACCCGGGTATTACCTTCAGGAATCCCTAAAAACCCCAAATATTTTTTTTTCATTTTTCATTTCTTTTTGGTCTAACTAACTCCCAAAGCTTGGAAAATAGTTCCTACAAAGGTTTTGGACAGTGATTTTAACCCTAACGCCAAAAACCTTAAACCTTACCCTAGCCCCAAAACCTAATACCCGTGCATTATCTTCAGGAAGCCAAAACAAGCCAAATATTTTTTTTTCATTTTTCATTTTTATTTGGTCTAACTAACTCCAAATGGTTGGAAAAGAGTTCCTACAAAGGTTTTGGACAGTGATTTTAACCCTAACGCCAAAAACCTTAAACCTTAGCCCCAAAACCTAATACCCGTGTATTATCCTTCAGGAAGCCCGAACACCACAAATATTTTTTTTTCATTTTTCATTTCTTTTTGGTCTAACTAACTCCAACAGGTTGGAAAACAGTTCCTACAAACGTTTTGGACAGTGATTTAAACCCTAACGCCAAAACCTTAAACCTTACCCTAGCCCCAACTCTTAATACCCGGGTATTACCTTCAGGAAGCCCAAACACCCCAAATATTTTTTTTTCATTTTTCATTTTTATTTGGTCTAACTAACTCCAAAAGGTTGGAAAACAGTTCCTACAAAGGTTTTGGACAGTGATTTAAACCCTAACGCCAAAACCTTAAACCTTACCCTAGCCCCAACTCTTAATACCCGGGTATTACCTTCAGGAAGCCCAAACACCCCAAATATATTTTTTTTCATTTTTCATTTTTATTTGGTCTAACTAACTCCAAAAGCTTGGAAAACAGTTCCTACAAAGGTTTTGGACAGTGATTTAAACCCTAACGCCAAAACCTTAAACCTTACCCTAGCCCCAACTCTTAATACCCGGGTATTACCTTCAGGAAGCCCAAACACCCCAAATATTTTTTTATTTTTTTTTATTTTTATTTGGTGTAACCAACTCCAAAAGGTCTGAAACATGTTCCTAAATAGGTTTTGGACAGTCATTTTAACCCTAACGCCCAAAACCTTAAACCTTACCCTAGCCCCAAAACCTAATATTATTAAAGTATTACCTTCAGGAAGCCCGAAAACCCCAAATATTTTTTTTTTTCATCTTTCTTTTTTTTTAGTCTAACTAACTCCAAAAGGTTGGAAAAGAGTTACTACAAAGGTTTTGGACAGTGATTTAAACCCTAACGCCAAAACCTTAAACCTTACCCTAGCCCCAACTCTTAATACCCGGGTATTACCTTCAGGAAGCCCAAACACCCCAAATATATTTTTTTTCATTTTTCATTTTTATTTGGTCTAACTAACTCCAAAAGGTTGGAAAAGAGTTCCTACAAAGGTTTTGGACAGTGATTTTAACCCTAACGCCAAAAACCTTAAACCTTACCATAGCCCCAAAACTTATACCCGGGTATTACCTTCAGGAAGCCCGAACACCCCAAATATATTTTTTTTATTTTTTATTTTTATTTGGTGTAACCAACTCCAAAAGGTCTGAAACATGTTCCTAAATAGGTTTTGGACAGTCATTTTAACCCTAACGCCAAAAAATCTTAAACCTTACCCTAGCCCCAAAACCTAATAGTATTACCTTCAGGAAGCCCGAAAACCCCAAATATTTTTTTTTCATTTTTCTTTTTTTTTGGTCTAACTAACTCCAAAAGCTTGGAAAAGAGATCCTACAAAGGTTTTGGACAGTGATTTTAACCCTAACGCCAAAAACTTTAAACCTTTCCCTAGCCCCATAACCTAATACCCGGGTATTACCTTCAGGAAGCCCGAACACCCCAAATATTTTTTTTTCATTTTTCTTTTTTTTTGGTCTAACTAACTCCAAAAGCTTGGAAAAGAGATCCTACAAAGGTTTTGGACAGTGATTTTAACCCTAACGCCAAAAACCTTAAACCTTACCATAGCCCCAAAACCTAATACCCGTGCATTATCTTCAGGAAGCCAAAACAAGCCAAATATTGTTTTTTTTTCATTTTTATTTGGTCTAACTAACTCCAAAAGGTTGGAAAACAGTTCCTACAAAGGTTTTGGACAGTGATTTAAACCCTAACGCCAAAACCTTAAACCTTACCCTAGCCCCAACTCTTAATACCCGGGTATTACCTTCAGGAAGCCCAAACACCCCAAATATATATTTTTTCATTTTTCATTTTTATTTGGTCTAACTAACTCCAAAAGGTTGGAAAACAGTTCCTACAAAGGTTTTGGACAGTGATTTTAACCCTAACGCCAAAAACCTTAAACCTTACCCTAGCCCCAACTCTTAATACCCGGGTATTACCTTCAGGAAGCCCAAACACCCCAAATATATTTTTTTTATTTTTTATTTTTATTTGGTGTAACCAACTCCAAAAGGTCTGAAACATGTTCCTAAATAGGTTTTGGACAGTCATTTTAACCCTAACGCCAAAAACCTTAAACCTTACCCTAGCCCCAAAACCTAATAGTATTACCTTCAGGAAGCCCGAAAACCCCAAATATTTTTTTTTCATTTTTCTTTTTTTTTGGTCTAACTAACTCCAAAAGCTTGGAAAAGAGATCCTACAAAGGTTTTGGACAGTGATTTTAACCCTAACGCCAAAAACTTTAAACCTTTCCCTAGCCCCATAACCGAATACCCGGGTATTACCTTCAGGAAGCCCGAACACCCCAAATATTTTTTTTTCATTTTTCTTTTTTTTTGGTCTAACTAACTCCAAAAGCTTGGAAAAGAGATCCTACAAAAGGTTTTGGACAGTGATTTTAACCCTAACGCCAAAAACCTTAAACCTTACCATAGCCCCAAACCTAATACCCGTGCATTATCTTCAGGAAGCCAAAACAAGCCAAATATTGTTTTTTTTTCATTTTTATTTGGTCTAACTAACTCCAAAAGGTTGGAAAACAGTTCCTACAAAGGTTTTGGACAGTGATTTAAACCCTAACGCCAAAACCTTAAACCTTACCCTAGCCCCAACTCTTAATACCCGGGTATTACCTTCAGGAAGCCCAAACACCCCAAATATATTTTTTTTCATTTTTCATTTTTATTTGGTCTAACTAACTCCAAAAGGTTGGAAAAGAGTTCCTACAAAGGTTTTGGACAGTGATTTAAACCCTAACGCCAAAAACGTTAAACCTTACCATTGCCCCAAAACTTATACCCGGGTATTACCTTCAGGAAGCCCAAACACCCCAAATATTTTTTTTTTCATTTTTCTTTTTTTTGGTCTAACTAACTCCAAAAGGTTGGAAAAGAGTTCCTACAAAGTTTTGGACAGTGATTTAAACCCTAACGCCAAAACCTTAAACCTTACCCTAGCCCCAAATCTTAATACCCGGGTATTACCTTCAGGAAGCCCAAACACCCCAAATATATTTTTTTTCATTTTTCATTTTTATTTGGTGTAACTAACTCCAAAAGGTTGGAAAAGAGTTCCTACAAAGGTTTTGGACAGTGATTTTAACCCTAACGCCAAAAACCTTAAACCTTACCATAGCCCCAAAACTTATACCCGGGTATTACCTTCAGGAAGCCCGAACACCCCAAATATTCTTTTTTCATTTTTCTTTTTTTTTGGTCTAACTAACTCCAAAAGCTTGGAAAAGAGATCCTACAAAGGTTTTGTACAGTCATTTTAACCCTAACGCCAAAAACCTTAAACCTTCCCCTAGCCCCAAAACCTAATACCCGGGTATTACCTTCAGGAAGCCCGAACACCCCAAATATTTTTTTTTCATTTTTCTTTTTTTTTGGTCCAACTAACTCCAAAAGCTTGGAAAAGAGATCCTACAAAGGTTTAGGACAGTGATTTTAACCCTAACGCCAAAAACTTTAAACCTTACCCTAGCCCCAACTCTTAATACCCGGGTATTACCTTCAGGAAGCCCAAACACCCCAAATATATATTTTTTCATTTTTCATTTTTATTTGGTCTAACTAACTCCAAAAGGTTGGAAAAGAGTTCCTACAAAGGTTTTGGACAGTGATTTAAACCCTAACGCCAAAAACGTTAAACCTTACCATAGCCCCAAAACTTATACCCGGGTATTACCTTCAGGAAGCCCGAACACCCCAAATATTTTTTTTTCATTTTTCTTTTTTTTTGGTCTAACTAACTCCAAAAGCTTGGAAAAGAGATCCTACAAAGGTTTTGGACAGTCATTTTAACCCTAACGCCAAAAACCTTAAACCTTACCCAAGCCCCAAAACCTAATACCCGGGTATTACCTTCAGGAAGCCCGAACACCCCAAATATTTTTTTTTCATTTTTCTTTTTTTTTGGTCTAACTAACTCCAAAAGCTTGGAAAAGAGATCCTACAAAGGTTTTGGACAGTGATTTTAACCCTAACGCCAAAAACCTTAAACCTTACCATAGCCCCATAACCTAATACCCGTGCATTATCTTCAGGAAGCCAAAACAAGCCAAATATTGTTTTTTTCATTTTTATTTGGTCTAACTAACTCCAAAAGGTTGGAAAACAGTTCCTACAAAGGTTTTGGACAGTGATTTAAACCCTAACGCCAAAACCTTAAACCTTACCCTAGCCCCAACTCTTAATACCCGGGTATTACCTTCAGGAAGCCCAAACACCCCAAATATATTTTTTTTCATTTTTCATTTTTATTTGGTCTAACTAACTCCAAAAGGTTGGAAAACAGTTCCTACAAAGGTTTTGGACAGTGATTTAAACCCTAACGCCAAAACCTTAAACCTTACCCTAGCCCCAAATCTTAATACCCGGGTATTACCTTCAGGAAGCCCAAACACCCCAAATATTTTTTTTTCATTTTTCATTTTTATTTGGTCTAACTAACTCCCAAAGGTTGGAAAAGAGATCCTACAAAGGTTTTGGACAGTGATTTTAACCCTAACGCCAAAACCTTAAACCTTACCCTAGCCCCAACTCTTAATACCCGGGTATTACCTTCAGGAAGCCCAAACACCCCAAATATATTTTTTTTCATTTTTCATTTTTATTTGGTGTAACTAACTCCAAAAGGTTGGAAAAGAGTTACTACAAAGGTTTTGGACAGTGATTTTAACCCTAACGCCAAAAACCTTAAACCTTACCCCAGCCCCATAACCTAATACCCGGGTATTACCTTCAGGAAGCCCAAACACCCCAAATATATTTTTTTTCATTTTTCATTTTTATTTGGTGTAACTAACTCCAAAAGGTTGGAAAAGAGTTCCTACAAAGGTTTTGGACAGTGATTTTAACCCTAACGCCAAAAACCTTAAACCTTACCATAGCCCCAAAACTTATACCCGGGTATTACCTTCAGGAAGCCCGAACACCCCAAATATTTTTTTTTCATTTTTCATTTCTTTTTGGTCTAACTAACTCCCAAAGCTTGGAAAATAGTTCCTACAAAGGTTTTGGACAGTGATTTTAACCCTAACGCCAAAAACCTTAAACCTTACCCTAGCCCCAAAACCTAATACCCGTGCATTATCTTCAGGAAGCCAAAACAAGCCAAATATTTTTTTTTCATTTTTCATTTTTATTTGGTCTAACTAACTCCAAATGGTTGGAAAAGAGTTCCTACAAAGGTTTTGGACAGTGATTTTAACCCTAACGCCAAAAACCTTAAACCTTTCCCTAGCCCCAAAACCTAATACCCATGTATTATCTTCAGGAAGCCCGAACACCACAAATATTTTTTTTTCATTTTTCATTTCTTTTTGGTCTAACTAACTCCAAAAGGTTGGAAAAGAGTTCCTACAAACGTTTTGGACAGTGATTTAAACCCTAACGCCAAAACCTTAAACCTAACCCTAGCCCCAAATCTTAATACCCGGGTATTACCTTCAGGAAGCCAAAACACCCCAAATATTTTTTTTTCATTTTTCATTTTTATTTGGTCTAACTAACTCCAAAAGGTTGGAAAACAGTTCCTACAAAGGTTTTGGACAGTGATTTTAACCCTAACGCCAAAAACCTTAAACCTTACCATAGCCCCAAAACCTAATACCCATGTATTATCTTCAGGAAGCCCGAACACCACAAATATTTTTTTTTCATTTTTCATTTCTTTTTGGTCTAACTAACTCCAAAAGGTTGGAAAAGAGTTCCTACAAAGGTTTTGGACAGTGATTTTAAACCTAACGCCAAAAACCTTAAACCTTACCATAGCCCCAAAACTTATACCCGGGTATTACCTTCAGGAAGCCCGAACACCCCAAATATATTTTTTTTATTTTTTATTTTTATTTGGTGTAACCAACTCCAAAAGGTCTGAAACATGTTCCTAAATAGGTTTTGGACAGTCATTTTAACCCTAACGCCAAAAACCTTAAACCTTCCCCTAGCCCCAAAACCTAATACCCGGGTATTACCTTCAGGAATCCCGAAAACCCCAAATATTTTTTTTTCATTTTTCATTTCTTTTTGGTCTAACTAACTCCCAAAGCTTGGAAAATAGTTCCTACAAAGGTTTTGGACAGTGATTTTAACCCTAACGCCAAAAACCTTAAACCTTCCCCTAGCCCCAAAACCTAATACCCGTGCATTATCTTCAGGAAGCCAAAACAAGCCAAATATTTTTTTTTCATTTTTCATTTTTTTTTGGTCTAACTAACTCCAAAAGGTTGGAAAAGAGTTCCTACAAACGTTTTGGACAGTGATTTAAACCCTAACGCCAAAACCTTAAACCTTACCCTAGCCCCAAATCTTAATACCCGGGTATTACCTTCAGGAAGCCCAAACACCCCAAATATTTTTTTTTTCATTTTTCATTTTTATTTGGTCTAACTAACTCCCAAAGGTTGGAAAACAGTTCCTACAAAGGTTTTGGACAGTGATTTAAACCCTAACGCCAAAACCTTAAACCTTACCCTAGCCCCAACTCTTAATACCCGGGTATTACCTTCAGGAAGCCCAAACACCCCAAATATATTTTTTTTCATTTTTCATTTTTATTTGGTCTAACTAACTCCAAAAGGTTGGAAAAGAGTTCCTACAAAGGTTTTGGACAGTGATTTAAACCCTAACGCCAAAAACGTTAAACCTTACCATAGCCCCAAAACTTATACCCGGGTATTACCTTCAGGAAGCCCAAACACCCCAAATATTTTTTTTTTTCATTTTTCTTTTTTTTTGGTCTAACTAACTCCAAAAGGTTGGAAAAGAGTTACTACAAAGGTTTTGGACAGTGATTTTAACCCTAACGCCAAAAACCTTAAACCTTACCCCAGCCCCATAACCTAATACCCGGGTATTACCTTCAGGAAGCCCGAAAACCCCAAATATTTTTTTTTCATTTTTCATTAATTTTTGGTCTAACTAACTCCAAAAGGTTGGAAAAGAGTTCCTACAAATGTTTTGGACAGTGATTTAAACCCTAACGCCAAAACCTTTAACCTTACCCTAGCCCCAACTCTTAATACCCGGGTATTACCTTCAGGAAGCCCAAACACCCCAAATATTTTTTTTTCATTTTTCATTATTTTTTGGTCTAACTAACTCCAAAAGGTTGGAAAAGAGTTCCTACAAATGTTTTGGACAGTGATTTAAACCCTAACGCCAAAACCTTAAACCTTACCCTAGCCCCAACTTTTAATACCCGGGTATTACCTTCAGGAAGCCAAAACACCCCAAATATATTTTTTTTCATTTTTCATTTTTATTTGGTCTAACTAACTCCAAAAGCTTGGAAAACAGTTCCTACAAAGGTTTTGGACAGTGATTTAAACCCTAACGCCAAAACCTTAAACCTTACCCTAGCCCCAACTCTTAATACCCGGGTATTACCTTCAGGAAGCCCAAACACCCCAAATATTTTTTTTTCATTTTTCATTTTTATTTGGTCTAACTAACTCCAAAAGGTTGGAAAAGAGTTCCTACAAAGGTTTTGGACAGTGATTTTAACCCTAACGCCAAAAACCTTAAACCTTACCATAGCCCCAAAACTTATACCCGGGTATTACCTTCAGGAAGCCCGAACACCCCAAATATTTTTTTTTTATTTTTTATTTTTATTTGGTGTAACCAACTCCAAAAGGTCTGAAACATGTTCCTAAATAGGTTTTGGACAGTCATTTTAACCCTAACGCCAAAAACCTTAAACCTTCCCCTAGCCCCAAAACCTAATACCCGGGTATTACCTTCAGGAATCCCGAAAACCCCAAATATTTTTTTTTCATTTTTCATTATTTTTTGGTCTAACTAACTCCAAAAGGTTGGAAAAGAGTTCCTACAAATGTTTTGGACAGTGATTTAAACCCTAACGCCAAAACCTTTAACCTTACCCTAGCCCCAAATCTTAATACCCGGGTATTACCTTCAGGAAGCCCAAACACCCCAAATATTTTTTTTTCATTTTTCATTTTTATTTGGTCTAACTAACTCCCAAAGGTTGGAAAACAGTTCCTACAAAGGTTTTGGACAGTGATTTAAACCCTAACGCCAAAACCTTAAACTTTACCCTAGCCCCAACTCTTAATACCCGGGTATTACCTTCAGGAAGCCCAAACACCCCAAATATATTTTTTTTCATTTTTCATTTTTATTTGGTCTAACTAACTCCAAAAGGTTGGAAAAGAGTTCCTACAAAGGTTTTGGACAGTGATTTTAACCCTAACGCCAAAAACCTTAAACCTTACCATAGCCCCAAAACTAATACCCGGGTATTACCTTCAGGAAGCCCAAACACCCCAAATATTTTTTTTTTATTTTTTATTTTTATTTGGTGTAACCAACTCCAAAAGGTCTGAAACATGTTCCTAAATAGGTTTTGGACAGTGATTTTAACCCTAACGCCAAAAACCTTAAACCTTCCCCTAGCCCCAAAACCTAATACCCGGGTATTACCTTCAGGAATCCCGAAAACCCCAAATATTTTTTTTTCATTTTTCATTTCTTTTTGGTCTAACTAACTCCCAAAGCTTGGAAAATAGTTCCTACAAAGGTTTTGGACAGTGATTTTAACCCTAACGCCAAAAACCTTAAACCTTACCCTAGCCCCAAAACCTAATACCCGTGCATTATCTTCAGGAAGCCAAAACAAGCCAAATATTTTTTTTTCATTTTTCATTTTTATTTGGTCTAACTAACTCCAAATGGTTGGAAAAGAGTTCCTACAAAGGTTTTGGACAGTGATTTTAACCCTAACGCCAAAAACCTTAAACCTTTCCCTAGCCCCAAAACCTAATACCCATGTATTATCTTCAGGAAGCCAAAACACCCCAAATATTTTTTTTTCATTTTTCATTTTTATTTGGTCTAACTAACTCCAAAAGGTTGGAAAACAGTTCCTACAAAGGTTTTGGACAGTGATTTAAACCCTAACGCCAAAACCTTAAACCTTAACCTAGCCCAAACTCTTAATACCCGGGTATTACCTTCAGGAAGCCCAAACACCCCAAATATATATTTTTTCATTTTTAATTTTTATTTGGTCTAACTAACTCCAAAAGGTTGGAAAACAGTTCCTACAAAGGTTTTGGACAGTGATTTAAACCCTAACGCCAAAACCTTAAACCTTACCCTAGCCCCAACTTTTAATACCCGGGTATTACCTTCAGGAAGCCCAAACACCCCAAATATATTTTTTTTCATTTTTCATTTTTATTTGGTCTAACTAACTCCAAAAGGTTGGAAAAGAGTTCCTACAAAGGTTTTGGACAGTGATTTTAACCCTAACGCCAAAAACCTTAAACCTTACCATAGCCCCAAAACTTATACCCGGGTATTACCTTCAGGAAGCCCGAACACCCCAAATATATTTTTTTTATTTTTTATTTTTATTTGGTGTAACCAACTCCAAAAGGTCTGAAACATGTTCCTAAATAGGTTTTGGACAGTCATTTTAACCCTAACGCCAAAAACCTTAAACCTTCCCCTAGCCCCAAAACCTAATACCCGGGTATTACCTTCAGGAATCCCGAAAACCCCAAATATTTTTTTTTCATTTTTCATTTCTTTTTGGTCTAACTAACTCCCAAAGCTTGGAAAATAGTTCCTACAAAGGTTTTGGACAGTGATTTTAACCCTAACGCCAAAAACCTTAAACCTTACCCTAGCCCCAAATCTTAATACCCGGGTATTACCTTCAGGAAGCCCAAACACCCCAAATATTTTTTTTTCATTTTTCATTTTTATTTGGTCTAACTAACTCCAAATGGTTGGAAAAGAGTTCCTACAAAGGTTTTGGACAGTGATTTTAACCCTAACGCCAAAAACCTTAAACCTTTCCCTAGCCCCAAAACCTAATACCCATGTATTATATTCAGGAAGCCCGAACACCACAAATATTTTTTTTCATTTTTCATTTCTTTTTGGTCTAACTAACTCCAAAAGGTTGGAAAAGAGTTCCTACAAACGTTTTGGACAGTGATTTAAACCCTAACGCCAAAACCTTAAACCTTACCCTAGCCCCAAATCTTAATACCCGGGTATTACCTTCAGGAAGCCCGAAAACCCCAAATATTTTTTTTTCATTTTTCATTTTTATTTGGTCTAACTAACTCCAAAAGGTTGGAAAACAGTTCCTACAAAGGTTTTGGACAGTGATTTAAACCCTAACGCCAAAACCTTAAACCTTACCCTAGCCCCAACTCTTAATACCCGGGTATTACCTTCAGGAAGCCCAAACACCCCAAATATGTATTTTTTCATTTTTAATTTTTATTTGGTCTAACTAACTCCAAAAGGTTGGAAAACAGTTCCTACAAAGGTTTTGGACAGTGATTTAAACCCTAACGCCAAAACCTTAAACCTTACCCTAGCCCCAACTCTTAATACCCGGGTATTACCTTCAGGAAGCCCAAACACCCCAAATATTTTTTTTTTCATTTTTCATTTTTATTAGGTCTAACTAACTCCAAAAGGTTGGAAAAGAGTTCCTACAAAGGTTTTGGACAGTGATTTTAACCCTAACGCCAAAAACCTTAAACCTTACCATAGCCCCAAAACTTATACCCGGGTATTACCTTCAGGAAGCCCGAACACCCCAAATATTTTTTTTTTATTTTTTTTTTTTATTTGGTGTAACCAACTCCAAAAGGTCTGAAACATGTTCCTAAATAGGTTTTGGACAGTCATTTTAACCCTAACGCCAAAAACCTTAAACCTTCCCCTAGCCCAAAACCTAATACCCGGGTATTACCTTCAGGAATCCCGAAAACCCCAAATATTTTTTTTTCATTTTTCTTTATTTTTTGGTCTAACTAACTCCAAAAGGTTGGAAAAGAGTTCCTACAAAGGTTTTGGACAGTGATTTTAACCCTAACGCCAAAAACCTTAAACCTTACCATAGCCCCAAAACTTATACCCGGGTATTACCTTCAGGAAGCCCGAACACCCCAAATATATTTTTTTTCATTTTTCATTTTTATTTGGTCTAACTAACTCCAAAAGGTTGGAAAAGAGTTCCTACAAAGGTTTTGGACAGTGATTTTAACCCTAACGCCAAAAACCTTAAACCTTACCATAGCCCCAAAACTTATACCCGGGTATTACCTTCAGGAAGCCCGAACACCCCAAATATATTTTTTTTATTTTTTTTTTTTATTTGGTGTAACCAACTCCAAAAGGTCTGAAACATGTTCCTAAATAGGTTTTGGACAGTGATTTTAACCCTAACGCCAAAAACCTTAAACCTTCCCCTAGCCCCAAAACCTAATACCCGGGTATTACCTTCAGGAATCCCGAAAACCCCAAATATTTTTTTTTCATTTTTCATTTCTTTTTGGTCTAACTAACTCCCAAAGCTTGGAAAATAGTTCCTACAAAGGTTTTGGACAGTGATTTTAACCCTAACGCCAAAAACCTTAAACCTTACCCTAGCCCCAAAACCTAATACCCGTGCATTATCTTCAGGAAGCCAAAACAAGCCAAATATTTTTTTTTCATTTTTCATTTTTATTTGGTCTAACTAACTCCAAATGGTTGGAAAAGAGTTCCTACAAAGGTTTTGGACAGTGATTTTAACCCTAACGCCAAAAACCTTAAACCTTTCCCTAGCCCCAAAACCTAATACCCATGTATTATCTTCAGGAAGCCCGAACACCACAAATATTTTTTTTTCATTTTTCATTTCTTTTTGGTCTAACTAACTCCAAAAGGTTGGAAAAGAGTTCCTACAAACGTTTTGGACAGTGATTTAAACCCTAACGCCAAAACCTTAAACCTTACCCTAGCCCCAAATCTTAATACCCGGGTATTACCTTCAGGAAGCCAAAACACCCCAAATATTTTTTTTTCATTTTTCATTTTTATTTGGTCTAACTAACTCCAAAAGGTTGGAAAACAGTTCCTACAAAGGTTTTGGACAGTGATTTAAACCCTAACGCCAAAACCTTAAACCTTAACCTAGCCCCAACTCTTAATACCCGGGTATTACCTTCAGGAAGCCCAAACACCCCAAATATATATTTTTTCATTTTTAATTTTTATTTGGTCTAACTAACTCCAAAAGGTTGGAAAACAGTTCCTACAAAGGTTTTGGACAGTGATTTAAACCCTAACGCCAAAACCTTAAACCTTACCCTAGCCCCAACTTTTAATACCCGGGTATTACCTTCAGGAAGCCAAAACACCCCAAATATTTTTTTTTTCATTTTTCATTTTTATTTGGTCTAACTAACTCCAAAAGGTTGGAAAAGAGTTCCTACAAAGGTTTTGGACAGTGATTTTAACCCTAACGCCAAAAACCTTAAACCTTACCATAGCCCCAAAACTTAATACCCGGGTATTACCTTCAGGAAGCCCGAACACCCCAAATATTTTTTTATTTTTTATTTTTATTTGGTGTAACCAACTCCAAAAGGTCTGAAACATGTTCCTAAATAGGTTTTGGACAGTCATTTTAACCCTAACGCCAAAAACCTTAAACCTTACCCTAGCCCCAAAACCTAATATTATTAAAGTATTACCTTCAGGAAGCCCGAAAACCCCAAATATTTTTTTTTCATCTTTCTTTTTTTTGGTCTAACTAACTCCAAAAGGTTGGAAAATAGTTCCTACAAAGGTTTTGGACAGTGATTTTAACCCTAACGCCAAAAACCTTAAACCTTCCCCTAGCCCCTAAACCTAATACCTGGGTATTACCTTCAGGAAGCCCAAACACCCCAAATATTTTTTTTTTATTTTTTATTTTTATTTGGTGTAACCAACTCCAAAAGGTCTGAAACATGTTCCTAAATAGGTTTTGGACAGTCATTTTAACCCTAACGCCAAAAACCTTAAACCTTCCCCTAGCCCCAAAACCTAATACCCGGGTATTACCTTCAGGAATCCCGAAAACCCCAAATATTTTTTTTTCATTTTTCATTATTTTTTGGTCTAACTAACTCCAAAAGGTTGGAAAAGAGTTCCTACAAATGTTTTGGACAGTGATTTAAACCCTAACGCCAAAACCTTTAACCTTACCCTAGCCCCAAATCTTAATACCCGGGTATTACCTTCAGGAAGCCCAAACACCCCAAATATTTTTTTTTCATTTTTCATTTTTATTTGGTCTAACTAACTCCCAAAGGTTAGAAAACAGTTCCTACAAAGGTTTTGGACAGTGATTTAAACCCTAACGCCAAAACCTTAAACCTTACCCTAGCCCCAACTCTTAAAACCCGGGTATTACCTTCAGGAAGCCCAAACACCCCAAATATATTTTTTTTCATTTTTCATTTTTATTTGGTGTAACTAACTCCAAAAGGTTGGAAAAGAGTTCCTACAAAGGTTTTGGACAGTGATTTAAACCCTAACGCCAAAACCTTAAACCTTACCATAGCCCCAAAACTTATACCCGGGTATTACCTTCAGGAGGCCCGAACACCCCAAATATATTTTTTTTATTTTTTATTTTTATTTGGTGTAACCAACTCCAAAAGGTCTGAAACATGTTCCTAAATAGGTTTTGGACAGTCATTTTAACCCTAACGCCAAAAACCTTAAACCTTCCCCTAGCCCCAAAACCTAATACCCGGGTATTACCTTCAGGAATCCCGAAAACCCCAAATATTTTTTTTTCATTTTTCATTTCTTTTTGGTCTAACTAACTCCCAAAGCTTGGAAAATAGTTCCTACAAAGGTTTTGGACAGTGATTTAAACCCTAACGCCAAAAACCTTAAACCTTACCCTAGCCCCAAAACCTAATACCCGTGCATTATCTTCAGGAAGCCAAAACAAGCCAAATATTTTTTTTTCATTTTTCATTTTTATTTGGTCTAACTAACTCCAAATGGTTGGAAAAGAGTTCCTACAAAGGTTTTGGACAGTGATTTTAACCCTAACGCCAAAAACCTTAAACCTTTCCCTAGCCCCAAAACCTAATACCCATGTATTATCTTCAGGAAGCCCGAACACCACAAATATTTTTTTTTCATTTTTCATTTCTTTTTGGTCTAACTAACTCCAAAAGGTTGGAAAAGAGTTCCTACAAACGTTTTGGACAGTGATTTAAACCCTAACGCCAAAACCTTAAACCTTACCCTAGTCCCAAATCTTAATACCCGGGTATAACCTTCAGGAAACCAAAACACCCCAAATATTTTTTTTTCATTTTTCATTTTTATTTGGTCTAACTAACTCCAAAAGGTTGGAAAACAGTTCCTACAAAGGTTTTGGACAGTGATTTAAACCCTAACGCCAAAACCTTAAACCTTAACCTACCCCCAACTCTTAATACCCGGGTATTACCTTCAGGAAGCCCAAACACCCCAAATATATATTTTTTCATTTTTAATTTTTATTTGGTCTAACTAACTCCAAAAGGTTGGAAAACAGTTCCTACAAAGGTTTTGGACAGTGATTTAAACCCTAACGCCAAAACCTTAAACCTTACCCTAGCCCCAACTCTTAATACCCGGGTATTACCTTCAGGAAGCCAAAACACCCCAAATATTTTTTTTTTTCATTTTTCATTTTTATTTGGTCTAACTAACTCCAAAAGGTTGGAAAAGAGTTCCTACAAAGGTTTTGGACAGTGATTTTAACCCTAACGCCAAAAACCTTAAACCTTACCATAGCCCCAAAACTTATACCCGGGTATTACCTTCAGGAAGCCCGAACACCCCAAATATTTTTTTTTTATTTTTTATTTTTATTTGGTGTAACCAACTCCAAAAGGTCTGAAACATGTTCCTAAATAGGTTTTGGACAGTCATTTTAACCCTAACGCCAAAAACCTTAAACCTTACCCTAGCCCCAAAACCTAATACCCGTGCATTATCTTCAGGAAGCCAAAACAAGCCAAATATTTTTTTTTCATTTTTCATTTTTATTTGGTCTAACTAACTCCAAATGGTTGGAAAAGAGTTCCTACAAAGGTTTTGGACAGTGATTTTAACCCTAACGCCAAAAACCTTAAACCTTTCCCTAGCCCCAAAACCTAATACCCATGTATTATCTTCAGGAAGCCCGAACACCACAAATATTTTTTTTTCATTTTTCATTTCTTTTTGGTCTAACTAACTCCAAAAGCTTGGAAAATAGTTCCTACAAACGTTTTGGACAGTGATTTAAACCCTTACGCCATAACCTTAAACCTTACCCCAGCCCCAAATCTTAATACCCGGGTATTACCTTCAGGAAGCCCAAACACCCCAAATATTTTTTTTTCATTTTTCATTTCTTTTTGGTCTAACTAACTCCAAAAGGTTGGAAAACAGTTCCTGCAAACGTTTTGGACAGTGATTTAAACCCTTTCGCCAAAACCTTAAACCTTACCCCAGCCCCAAATATTACCTTCAGGAAGCCCAAACACCCCAAATATTTTTTTTTCATTTTTCATTTTTATTTGGTCTAACTAACTCCAAAAGCTTGGAAAATAGTTCCTACAAACGTTTTGGACAGTGATTTAAACCCTAACGCCAAAACCTTAAACCTTACCCCAGCCCCAAATCTTAATAACCGGGTATTACCTTCAGGAAGCCCAAACACCCCAAATATTTTTTTTTCATTTTTCATTTTTATTTGGTCTAACTAAAACCAAATGGTTGGAAAAGAGTTCCTACAAAGGTTTTGGACAGTGATTTTAACCCTAACGCCAAAAACCTTAAACCTTCCCCTAGCCCCAAAACCTAATACCCGGGTATTACCTTCAGGAAGCCCGAAAACCCCAAATATTTTTTTTTCATTTTTCATTTCTTTTTGGTCTAACTAACTCCCAAAGCTTGGAAAATAGTTCCTACAAAGTTTTTGGACAGTGATTTTAACCCTAACGCCAAAAACCTTAAACCTTACCCTAGCCCCAAAACCTAATACCCGTGCATTATCTTCAGGAAGCCCAAACAAGCCAAATATCTTTTTTTCATTTTTCATTTTTATTTGGTCTAACTAACTCCAAATGGTTGGAAAAGAGTTCCTACAAAGGTTTTGGACAGTGATTTTAACCCTAACGCCAAAAACCTTAAACCTTTCCCTAGCCCCAAAACCTAATACCCGTGTATTACCTTCAGGAAGCCCAAACACCCCAAATATTTTTTTTTCATTTTTCATTTTTATTTGGTCTAACTAACTCCCAAAGGTTGGAAAACAGTTCCTACAAAGGTTTTGGACAGTGATTTAAACCCTAACGCCAAAACCTTAAACCTTACCCTAGCCCCAACTCTTAATACCTGTGCATTATCTTCAGGAAGCCCAAACACCCCAAATATTTTTTTTTTCATTTTTCATTTTTATTTGGTCTAACTAACTCCAAAAGGTTGGAAAAGAGTTCCTACAAAGGTTTTGGACAGTGATTTTAACCCTAACGCCAAAAACCTTAAACCTTACCATCGCCCCAAAACTCCTGGGTATTACCTTCAGGAAGCCTGAACACCCCAAATATTTTTTTTCAATTTTTTTATTTCATTTGGTGTAACCAACTCCAAAAGGTCTGAAACATGTTCCTAAATAGGTTTTGGACAGTCATTTTAACCCTAACGCCAAAAACCTAAAACCTTCCCCTAGCCCCAAAACCTAATACCCGGGTATTACCTTCAGGAAGCCCGAAAACCCCAAATATTTTTTTTTCATTTTTCATTTCTTTTTGGTCTAACTAACTCCCAAAGCTTGGAAAATAGTTCCTACAAAGGTTTTGGACAGTGATTTTAACCCTAACGCCAAAAACCTTAAACCTTACCCTAGCCCCAAAACCTAATACCCGTGCATTATCTTCAGGAAGCCAAAACAAGCAAAATATTTTTTTTTCATTTTTCATTTTTATTTGGTCTAACTAACTCCAAATGGTTGGAAAAGAGTTCCTACAAAGGTTTTGGACAGTGATTTTAACCCTAACGCCAAAAACCTTAAACCTTTCCCTAGCCCCAAAATCTAATACCCGTGTATTATCTTCAGGAAGCCCGAACACCACAAATATTTTTTTTTCATTTTTCATTTCTTTTTGGTCTAACTAACTCCAAAAGCTTGGAAAATAGTTCCTACAAACGTTTTGGACAGTGATTTAAATCCTAACGCCAAAACCTTAAACCTTACCCTAGCACCAAATCTTAATACCCAGGTATTACCTTCAGGAAGCCCAAACACCCCAAATATTTTTTTTTCATTTTTCATTTTTAATTTGGTCTAACTAACTCCAAAAGGTTGGAAAACAGTTCCTACAAAGGTTTTGGACAGTGATTTAAACCCTAACGCCAAAACCTTAAACCTTACCCTAGCCCCAAGTCTTAATACCCGGGTATTACCTTCAGGAAGCCCCAACACCCCAAATATATTTTTTTTCATTTTTCATTTTTATTTGGTCTAACTCCAAAAGGTTGGAAAAGAGATCCTACAAAGGTTTTGGACAGTGATTTTAACCCTAACGCCCAAAACCTTAAACCTTACCATAGCCCCATAACCTAATACCCGGGTATTACCTTCAGGAAGCCCGAACACCCCAAATATTTTTTTTTCATTTTTCTTTTTTTTTGGTCTAACTAACTCCAAAAGCTTGGAAAAGAGATCCTACAAAGGTTTTGGACAGTGATTTTAACCCTAACGCCAAAAACCTTAAACCTTACCATAGCCCCATAACCTAATACCCGTGCATTATCTTCAGGAAGCCAAAACTAGCCAAATATATATTTTTTCATTTTTAATTTTTATTTGGTCTAACTAACTCCAAAAGGTTGGAAAACAGTTCCTACAAAGGTTTTGGACAGTGATTTAAACCCTAACGCCAAAACCTTAAACCTTACCCTAGCCCCAACTCTTAATACCCGGGTATTACCTTCAGGAAGCCCAAACACCCCAAATATTTTTTTTTTCATTTTTCATTTTTATTTGGTCTAACTAACTCCAAAAGGTTGGAAAAGAGTTCCTACAAAGGTTTTGGACAGTGATTTTAACCCTAACGCCAAAAACCTTAAACCTTACCATAGCCCCAAAACTAATACCCGGGTATTACCTTCAGGAAGCCCGAACACCCCAAATATTTTTTTTTTATTTTTTTTTTTATTTGGTGTAACCAACTCCAAAAGGTCTGAAACATGTTCCTAAATAGGTTTTGGACAGTCATTTTAACCCTAACGCCAAAAACCTTAAACCTTCCCCTAGCCCCAAAACCTAATACCCGGGTATTACCTTCAGGAATCCCGAAAACCCCAAATATTTTTTTTTCATTTTTCATTATTTTTTGGTCTAACTAACTCCAAAAGGTTGGAAAAGAGTTCCTACAAAGGTTTTGGACAGTGATTTTAACCCTAACGCCAAAAACCTTAAACCTTACCATAGCCCCAAAACTTATACCCGGGTATTACCTTCAGGAAGCCCGAACACCCCAAATATATTTTTTTTCATTTTTCATTTTTATTTGGTCTAACTAACTCCAAAAGGTTGGAAAAGAGTTCCTACAAAGGTTTTGGACAGTGATTTTAACCCTAACGCCAAAAACCTTAAACCTTACCATAGCCCCAAAACTTATACCCGGGTATTACCTTCAGGAAGCCCGAACACCCCAAATATATTTTTTTTATTTTTTATTTTTATTTGGTGTAACCAACTCCAAAAGGTCTGAAACATGTTCCTAAATAGGTTTTGGACAGTGATTTTAACCCTAACGCCAAAAACCTTAAACCTTCCCCTAGCCCCAAAACCTAATACCCGGGTATTACCTTCAGGAATCCCGAAAACCCCAAATATTTTTTTTTCATTTTTCATTTCTTTTTGGTCTAACTAACTCCCAAAGCTTGGAAAATAGTTCCTACAAAGGTTTTGGACAGTGATTTTAACCCTAACGCCAAAAACCTTAAACCTTACCCTAGCCCCAAAACCTAATACCCGTGCATTATCTTCAGGAAGCCAAAACAAGCCAAATATTTTTTTTTCATTTTTCATTTTTATTTGGTCTAACTAACTCCAAATGGTTGGAAAAGAGTTCCTACAAAGGTTTTGGACAGTGATTTTAACCCTAACGCCAAAAACCTTAAACCTTTCCCTAGCCCCAAAACCTAATACCCGTGTATTATCTTCAGGAAGCCCGAACACCACAAATATTTTTTTTTTCATTTTTCATTTCTTTTTGGTCTAACTAACTCCAAAAGGTTGGAAAAGAGTTCCTACAAAGTTTTGGACAGTGATTTAAACCCTAACGCCAAAACCTTAAACCTTACCCTAGCCCCAAATCTTAATACCCGGGTATTACCTTCAGGAAGCCAAAACACCCCAAATATTTTTTTTCATTTTTCATTTTTATTTGGTCTAACTAACTCCAAAAGGTTGGAAAACAGTTCCTACAAAGGTTTTGGACAGTGATTTAAACCCTAACGCCAAAACCTTAAACCTTAACCTAGCCCCAACTCTTAATACCCGGGTATTACCTTCAGGAAGCCCAAACACCCCAAATATATATTTTTTCATTTTTAATTTTTATTTGGTCTAACTAACTCCAAAAGGTTGGAAAACAGTTCCTACAAAGGTTTTGGACAGTGATTTTCTTTTAATACCCGTGTATTACCTTCAGGAAGCCAAAACACCCCAAATATTTTTTTTTTCATTTTTCATTTTTATTTGGTCTAACTAACTCCAAAAGGTTGGAAAAGAGTTCCTACAAAGGTTTTGGACAGTGATTTTAACCCTAACGCCAAAAACCTTAAACCTTACCATAGCCCCAAAACTTATACCCGGGTATTACCTTCAGGAAGCCCGAACACCCCAAATATTTTTTTTTTATTTTTTATTTTTATTTGGTGTAACCAACTCCAAAAGGTCTGAAACATGTTCCTAAATAGGTTTTGGACAGTCATTTTAACCCTAACGCCAAAAACCTTAAACCTTACCCTAGCCCCAAAACCTAATATTATTAAAGTATTACCTTCAGGAAGCCCGAAAACCCCAAATATTTTTTTTTCATCTTTCTTTTTTTTAGTCTAACTAACTCCAAAAGGTTGGAAAATAGTTCCTACAAAGGTTTTGGACAGTGATTTTAACCCTAACGCCAAAAACCTTAAACCTTCCCCTAGCCCCTAAACCTAATACCTGGGTATTACCTTCAGGAAGCCCAAACACCCCAAATATATTTTTTTTATTTTTTATTTTTATTTGGTGTAACCAACTCCAAAAGGTCTGAAACATGTTCCTAAATAGGTTTTGGACAGTCATTTTAACCCTAACGCCAAAAACCTTAAACCTTCCCCTAGCCCCAAAACCTAATACCCGGGTATTACCTTCAGGAATCCCGAAAACCCCAAATATTTTTTTTTCATTTTTCATTATTTTTTGGTCTAACTAACTCCAAAAGGTTGGAAAAGAGTTCCTACAAATGTTTTGGACAGTGATTTAAACCCTAACGCCAAAACCTTTAACCTTACCCTAGCCCCAAATCTTAATACCCGGGTATTACCTTCAGGAAGCCCAAACACCCCAAATATATTTTTTTTCATTTTTCATTTTTATTTGGTGTAACTAACTCCAAAAGGTTGGAAAAGAGTTCCTACAAAGGTTTTGGACAGTGATTTAAACCCTAACGCCAAAACCTTAAACCTTACCATAGCCCCAAAACTTATACCCGGGTATTACCTTCAGGAGGCCCGAACACCCCAAATATATTTTTTTTATTTTTTATTTTTATTTGGTGTAACCAACTCCAAAAGGTCTGAAACATGTTCCTAAATAGGTTTTGGACAGTCATTTTAACCCTAACGCCAAAAACCTTAAACCTTCCCCTAGCCCCAAAACCTAATACCCGGGTATTACCTTCAGGAATCCCGAAAACCCCAAATATTTTTTTTTCATTTTTCATTTCTTTTTGGTCTAACTAACTCCCAAAGCTTGGAAAATAGTTCCTACAAAGGTTTTGGACAGTGATTTAAACCCTAACGCCAAAAACCTTAAACCTTACCCTAGCCCCAAAACCTAATACCCGTGCATTATCTTCAGGAAGCCAAAACAAGCCAAATATTTTTTTTTCATTTTTCATTTTTATTTGGTCTAACTAACTCCAAATGGTTGGAAAAGAGTTCCTACAAAGGTTTTGGACAGTGATTTTAACCCTAACGCCAAAAACCTTAAACCTTTCCCTAGCCCCAAAACCTAATACCCATGTATTATCTTCAGGAAGCCCGAACACCACAAATATTTTTTTTTCATTTTTCATTTCTTTTTGGTCTAACTAACTCCAAAAGGTTGGAAAAGAGTTCCTACAAACGTTTTGGACAGTGATTTAAACCCTAACGCCAAAACCTTAAACCTTACCCTAGCCCCAAATCTTAATACCCGGGTATTACCTTCAGGAAGCCCGAACACCCCAAATATTTTTTTTTCATTTTTCATTTTTATTTGGTCTAACTAACTCCAAAAGGTTGGAAAACAGTTCCTACAAAGGTTTTGGACAGTGATTTAAACCCTAACGCCAAAACCTTAAACCTTACCCTAGCCCCAACTCTTAATACCCGGGTATTACCTTCAGGAAGCCCAAACACCCCAAATATATATTTTTTCATTTTTAATTTTTATTTGGTCTAACTAACTCCAAAAGGTTGGAAAACAGTTCCTACAAAGGTTTTGGACAGTGATTTTAACCCTAACGCCAAAAACCTTAAACCTTTCCCTAGCCCCAAAACCTAATACCCATGTATTATCTTCAGGAAGCCCGAACACCACAAATATTTTTTTTTCATTTTTCATTTCTTTTTGGTCTAACTAACTCCAAAAGGTTGGAAAAGAGTTCCTACAAACGTTTTGGACAGTGATTTAAACCCTAACGCCAAAACCTTAAACCTTACCCTAGCCCCAAATCTTAATACCCGGGTATTACCTTCAGGAAGCCCGAACACCCCAAATATTTTTTTTTCATTTTTCATTTTTATTTGGTCTAACTAACTCCAAAAGGTTGGAAAACAGTTCCTACAAAGGTTTTGGACAGTGATTTAAACCCTAACGCCAAAACCTTAAACCTTACCCTAGCCCCAACTCTTAATACCCGGGTATTACCTTCAGGAAGCCCAAACACCCCAAATATATATTTTTTCATTTTTAATTTTTATTTGGTCTAACTAACTCCAAAAGGTTGGAAAACAGTTCCTACAAAGGTTTTGGACAGTGATTTAAACCCTAACGCCAAAACCTTAAACCTTACCCTAGCCCCAACTCTTAATACCCGGGTATTACCTTCAGGAAGCCCAAACACCCCAAATATTTTTTTTTTCATTTTTCATTTTTATTTGGTCTAACTAACTCCAAAAGGTTGGAAAAGAGTTCCTACAAAGGTTTTGGACAGTGATTTTAACCCTAACGCCAAAAACCTTAAACCTTACCATAGCCCCAAAACTTAATACCCGGGTATTACCTTCAGGAAGCCCGAACACCCCAAATATTTTTTTTTTATTTTTTATTTTTATTTGGTGTAACCAACTCCAAAAGGTCTGAAACATGTTCCTAAATAGGTTTTGGACAGTCATTTTAACCCTAACGCCAAAAACCTTAAACCTTCCCCTAGCCCAAAACCTAATACCCGGGTATTACCTTCAGGAATCCCGAAAACCCCAAATATTTTTTTTTCATTTTTCATTATTTTTTGGTCTAACTAACTCCAAAAGGTTGGAAAAGAGTTCCTACAAATGTTTTGGACAGTGATTTAAACCCTAACGCCAAAACCTTTAACCTTACCCTAGCCCCAAATCTTAATACCCGGGTATTACCTTCAGGAAGCCCAAACACCCCAAATATTTTTTTTTCATTTTTCATTTTTATTTGGTCTAACTAACTCCCAAAGGTTGGAAAACAGTTCCTACAAAGGTTTTGGACAGTGATTTAAACCCTAACGCCAAAACCTTAAACTTTACCCTAGCCCCAACTCTTAATACCCGGGTATTACCTTCAGGAAGCCCAAACACCCCAAATATATTTTTTTTCATTTTTCATTTTTATTTGGTCTAACTAACTCCAAAAGGTTGGAAAAGAGTTCCTACAAAGGTTTTGGACAGTGATTTTAACCCTAACGCCAAAAACCTTAAACCTTACCATAGCCCCAAAACTTATACCCGGGTATTACCTTCAGGAAGCCCGAACACCCCAAATATATTTTTTTTATTTTTTATTTTTATTTGGTGTAACCAACTCCAAAAGGTCTGAAACATGTTCCTAAATAGGTTTTGGACAGTGATTTTAACCCTAACGCCAAAAACCTTAAACCTTCCCCTAGCCCCAAAACCTAATACCCGGGTATTACCTTCAGGAATCCCGAAAACCCCAAATATTTTTTTTTCATTTTTCATTTCTTTTTGGTCTAACTAACTCCCAAAGCTTGGAAAATAGTTCCTACAAAGGTTTTGGACAGTGATTTTAACCCTAACGCCAAAAACCTTAAACCTTACCCTAGCCCCAAAACCTAATACCCGTGCATTATCTTCAGGAAGCCAAAACAAGCCAAATATTTTTTTTTCATTTTTCATTTTTATTTGGTCTAACTAACTCCAAATGGTTGGAAAAGAGTTCCTAAAAGGTTTTGGACAGTGATTTTAACCCTAACGCCAAAAACCTTAAACCTTTCCCTAGCCCCAAAACCTAATACCCATGTATTATCTTCAGGAAGCCCGAACACCACAAATATTTTTTTTTCATTTTTCATTTCTTTTTGGTCTAACTAACTCCAAAAGGTTGGAAAAGAGTTCCTACAAACGTTTTGGACAGTGATTTAAACCCTAACGCCAAAACCTTAAACCTTACCCTAGCCCCAAATCTTAATACCCGGGTATTACCTTCAGGAAACCAAAACACCCCAAATATTTTTTTTTCATTTTTCATTTTTATTTGGTCTAACTAACTCCAAAAGGTTGGAAAACAGTTCCTACAAAGGTTTTGGACAGTGATTTAAACCCTAACGCCAAAACCTTAAACCTTAACCTACCCCCAACTCTTAATACCCGGGTATTACCTTCAGGAAGCCCAAACACCCCAAATATATATTTTTTCATTTTTAATTTTTATTTGGTCTAACTAACTCCAAAAGGTTGGAAAACAGTTCCTACAAAGGTTTTGGACAGTGATTTAAACCCTAACGCCAAAACCTTAAACCTTACCCTAGCCCCAACTCTTAATACCCGGGTATTACCTTCAGGAAGCCAAAACACCCCAAATATTTTTTTTTTCATTTTTCATTTTTATTTGGTCTAACTAACTCCAAAAGGTTGGAAAAGAGTTCCTACAAAGGTTTTGGACAGTGATTTTAACCCTAACGCCAAAAACCTTAAACCTTACCATAGCCCCAAAACTTATACCCGGGTATTACCTTCAGGAAGCCCGAACACCCCAAATATTTTTTTTTTATTTTTTATTTTTATTTGGTGTAACCAACTCCAAAAGGTCTGAAACATGTTCCTAAATAGGTTTTGGACAGTCATTTTAACCCTAACGCCAAAAACCTTAAACCTTACCCTAGCCCCAAAACCTAATATTATTAAAGTATTACCTTCAGGAAGCCCGAAAACCCCAAATATTTTTTTTTCATCTTTCTTTTTTTTAGTCTAACTAACTCCAAAAGGTTGGAAAAGAGTTACTACAAAGGTTTTGGACAGTGATTTTAACCCTAACGCCAAAAACCTTAAACCTTCCCCTAGCCCCTAAACCTAATACCTGGGTATTACCTTCAGGAAGCCCAAACACCCCAAATATTTTTTTTTTATTTTTTATTTTTATTTGGTGTAACCAACTCCAAAAGGTCTGAAACATGTTCCTAAATAGGTTTTGGACAGTCATTTTAACCCTAACGCCAAAAACCTTAAACCTTCCCCTAGCCCCAAAACCTAATACCCGGGTATTACCTTCAGGAATCCCGAAAACCCCAAATATTTTTTTTTCATTTTTCATTATTTTTTGGTCTAACTAACTCCCAAAGGTTGGAAAACAGTTCCCACAAAGGTTTTGGACAGTGATTTAAACCCTAACGCCAAAACCTTAAACCTTACCCTAGCCCCAAATCTTAATACCCGGGTATTACCTTCAGGAAGCCCGAACACCCCAAATATTTTTTTTTCATTTTTCATTTTTATTTGGTCTAACTAACTCCCAAAGGTTGGAAAACAGTTCCTACAAAGGTTTTGGACAGTGATTTAAACCCTAACGCCAAAACCTTAAACCTTACCCTAGCCCCAACTTTTAATACCCGGGTATTACCTTCAGGAAGCCCAAACACCCCAAATATATTTTTTTTCATTTTTCATTTTTATTTGGTGTAACTAACTCCAAAAGGTTGGAAAAGAGTTCCTACAAAGGTTTTGGACAGTGATTTAAACCCTAACGCCAAAACCTTAAACCTTACCATAGCCCCAAAACTTAATACCCGGGTATTACCTTCAGGAAGCCCGAAAACCCCAAATATATTTTTTTTATTTTTTATTTTTATTTGGTGTAACCAACTCCAAAAGGTCTGAAACATGTTCCTAAATAGGTTTTGGACAGTCATTTTAACCCTAACGCCAAAAACCTTAAACCTTCCCCTAGCCCCAAAACCTAATACCCGGGTATTACCTTCAGGAATCCCGAACACCCCAAATATTTTTTTTTCATTTTTCATTTTTATTTGGTGTAACTAACTCCAAAAGGTTGGAAAAGAGTTCCTACAAAGGTTTTGGACAGTGATTTAAACCCTAACGCCAAAACCTTAAACCTTACCATAGCCCCAAAACTTATACCCGGGTATTACCTTCAGGAAGCCCGAACACCCCAAATATTTTTTTTTTATTTTTTATTTTTATTTGGTGTAACCAACTCCAAAAGGTCTGAAACATGTTCCTAAATAGGTTTTGGACAGTCATTTTAACCCTAACGCCAAAAACCTTAAACCTTACCCTAGCCCCAAAACCTAATATTATTAAAGTATTACCTTCAGGAAGCCCGAAAACCCCAAATATTTTTTTTTCATCTTTCTTTTTTTTAGTCTAACTAACTCCAAAAGGTTGGAAAAGAGTTACTACAAAGGTTTTGGACAGTGATTTTAACCCTAACGCCAAAAACCTTAAACCTTCCCCTAGCCCCTAAACCTAATACCTGGGTATTACCTTCAGGAAGCCCAAACACCCCAAATATTTTTTTTTTATTTTTTATTTTTATTTGGTGTAACCAACTCCAAAAGGTCTGAAACATGTTCCTAAATAGGTTTTGGACAGTCATTTTAACCCTAACGCCAAAAACCTTAAACCTTCCCCTAGCCCCAAAACCTAATACCCGGGTATTACCTTCAGGAATCCCGAAAACCCCAAATATTTTTTTTTCATTTTTCATTATTTTTTGGTCTAACTAACTCCAAAAGGTTGGAAAAGAGTTCCTACAAATGTTTTGGACAGTGATTTAAACCCTAACGCCAAAACCTTTAACCTTACCCTAGCCCCAAATCTTAATACCCGGGTATTACCTTCAGGAAGCCCGAACACCACAAATATTTTTTTTTCATTTTTCATTTTTATTTGGTCTAACTAACTCCCAAAGGTTGGAAAACAGTTCCTACAAAGGTTTTGGACAGTGATTTAAACCCTAACGCCAAAACCTTAAACCTTACCCTAGCCCCAACTCTTAATACCCGGGTATTACCTTCAGGAAGCCCAAACACCCCAAATATATTTTTTTTCATTTTTCATTTTTATTTGGTGTAACTAACTCCAAAAGGTTGGAAAAGAGTTCCTACAAAGGTTTTGGACAGTGATTTAAACCCTAACGCCAAAACCTTAAACCTTACCATAGCCCCAAAACTTATACCCGGGTATTACCTTCAGGAAGCCCGAACACCCCAAATATATTTTTTTTATTTTTTATTTTTATTTGGTGTAACCAACTCCAAAAGGTCTGAAACATGTTCCTAAATAGGTTTTGGACAGTCATTTTAACCCTAACGCCAAAAACCTTAAACCTTCCCCTAGCCCCAAAACCTAATACCCGGGTATTACCTTCAGGAATCCCGAAAACCCCAAATATTTTTTTTTCATTTTTCATTTCTTTTTGGTCTAACTAACTCCCAAAGCTTGGAAAATAGTTCCTACAAAGGTTTTGGACAGTGATTTAAACCCTAACGCCAAAAACCTTAAACCTTACCCTAGCCCCAAAACCTAATACCCGTGCATTATCTTCAGGAAGCCAAAACAAGCCAAATATTTTTTTTTCATTTTTCATTTTTATTTGGTCTAACTAACTCCAAATGGTTGGAAAAGAGTTCCTACAAAGGTTTTGGACAGTGATTTTAACCCTAACGCCAAAAACCTTAAACCTTTCCCTAGCCCCAAAACCTAATACCCATGTATTATCTTCAGGAAGCCCGAACACCACAAATATTTTTTTTTCATTTTTCATTTCTTTTTGGTCTAACTAACTCCAAAAGCTTGGAAAATAGTTCCTACAAACGTTTTGGACAGTGATTTAAACCCTTACGCCATAACCTTAAACCTTACCCCAGCCCCAAATCTTAATACCCGGGTATTACCTTCAGGAAGCCCAAACACCCCAAATATTTTTTTTTCATTTTTCATTTCTTTTTGGTCTAACTAACTCCAAAAGGTTGGAAAACAGTTCCTGCAAACGTTTTGGACAGTGATTTAAACCCTTTCGCCAAAACCTTAAACCTTACCCCAGCCCCAAATATTACCTTCAGGAAGCCCAAACACCCCAAATATTTTTTTTTCATTTTTCATTTTTATTTGGTCTAACTAACTCCAAAAGCTTGGAAAATAGTTCCTACAAACGTTTTGGACAGTGATTTAAACCCTTACGCCATAACCTTAAACCTTACCCCAGCCCCAAATCTTAATAACCGGGTATTACCTTCAGGAAGCCCAAACACCCCAAATATTTTTTTTTTCATTTTTCATTTTTATTTGGTCTAACTAAAACCAAATGGTTGGAAAAGAGTTCCTACAAAGGTTTTGGACAGTGATTTTAACCCTAACGCCAAAAACCTTAAACCTTCCCCTAGCCCCAAAACCTAATACACGGGTATTACCTTCAGGAAGCCCGAAAACCCCAAATATTTTTTTTTCATTTTTCATTTCTTTTTGGTCTAACTAACTCCCAAAGCTTGGAAAATAGTTCCTACAAAGTTTTTGGACAGTGATTTTAACCCTAACGTCAAAAACCTTAAACCTTACCCTAGCCCCAAAACCTAATACCCGTGCAATATCTTCAGGAAGCCCAAACAAGCCAAATATCTTTTTTTCATTTTTCATTTTTATTTGGTCTAACTAACTCCAAATGGTTGGAAAAGACTTCCCTACAAAGGTTTTGGACAGTGATTTTAACCCTAACGCCAAAAACCTTAAACCTTTCCCTAGCCCCAAAACCTAATACCCGTGTATTACCTTCAGGAAGCCCAAACACCCCAAATATTTTTTTTTCATTTTTCATTTTTATTTGGTCTAACTAACTCCCAAAGGTTGGAAAACAGTTCCTACAAAGGTTTTGGACAGTGATTTAAACCCTAACGCCAAAACCTTAAACCTTACCCTAGCCCCAACTCTTAATACCTGTGCATTATCTTCAGGAAGCCCAAACACCCCAAATATTTTTTTTTTCATTTTTCATTTTTATTTGGTCTAACTAACTCCAAAAGGTTGGAAAAGAGTTCCTACAAAGGTTTTGGACAGTGATTTTAACCCTAACGCCAAAAACCTTAAACCTTACCATCGCCCCAAAACTTATACCTGGGTATTACCTTCAGGAAGCCTGAACACCCCAAATATTTTTTTTCAATTTTTTTTTTTTCATTTGGTGTAACCAACTCCAAAAGGTCTGAAACATGTTCCTAAATAGGTTTTGGACAGTCATTTTAACCCTAACGCCAAAAACCTTAAACCTTCCCCTAGCCCCAAAACCTAATACCCGGGTATTACCTTCAGGAAGCCCGAAACCCCAAATATTTTTTTTTCATTTTTCATTTCTTTTTGGTCTAACTAACTCCCAAAGCTTGGAAAATAGTTCCTACAAAGGTTTTGGACAGTGATTTTAACCCTAACGCCAAAAACCTTAAACCTTACCCTAGCCCCAAAACCTAATACCCGTGCATTATGTTCAGGAAGCCAAAACAAGCAAAATATTTTTTTTTCATTTTTCATTTTTCTTTGGTCTAACTAACTCCAAATGGTTGGAAAAGAGTTCCTACAAAGGTTTTGGACAGTGATTTTAACCCTAACGCCAAAAACCTTAAACCTTTCCCTAGCCCCAAAATCTAATACCCGTGTATTATCTTCAGGAAGCCCGAACACCACAAATATTTTTTTTTCATTTTTCATTTCTTTTTGGTCTAACTAACTCCAAAAGCTTGGAAAATAGTTCCTACAAACGTTTTGGACAGTGATTTAAATCCTAACGCCAAAACCTTAAACCTTACCCTAGCCCCAAATCTTAATACCCAGGTATTACCTTCAGGAAGCCCAAACACCCCAAATATTTTTTTTTCATTTTTCATTTTTAATTTGGTCTAACTAACTCCAAAAGGTTGGAAAACAGTTCCTACAAAGGTTTTGGACAGTGATTTAAACCCTAACGCCAAAACCTTAAACCTTACCCTAGCCCCAAGTCTTAATACCCGGGTATTACCTTCAGGAAGCCCCAACACCCCAAATATATTTTTTTTCATTTTTCATTTTTATTTGGTCTAACTCCAAAAGGTTGGAAAAGAGATCCTA